TTTTCAAATAACTGTCAAAATCGTAGAAACTAATGCCAAATATTTTCATTACACTTGCAATAGTATGAAAATAAAGAAACGCATAAAAAAATATGCGAGACCGGACGGACGTACATTTGATCAGAAAGCTATTATGAATCCGAAAATAGCCCAAACTTTCAGAATAAAGTTAATAATTTATAAATAATGGTGGTATTTGACATGTTGTAAAATAATATATCAACCTTTTAGTTATCTCTTTCATGGCGGAACTTGGCGGGTATGTTTGTATTAACAAAATTGAAGCTGAGTTAAAAACTAGTTTTTGGTTCTAAAAAAACGTTAAAATTGCTTTATTAAAGTTATAGATATTTTAGATAGAACCTTAAGAATGAAGAAATAAATGAACAAAGCTGTCTTCATAGCGAGGCAAGCGGATTCTTGCTTTATCTGAAAACTATTATGAATATAAAACATACATAAAATTGGGAACGGATGTAGGTGGCCGCAACGACAGCTCATCATTCTAAGGGTCCTGGGTTCAAATCTCACCGCCCATGAATTTCACCTCAACAAACGGACTTTTTTTAACACCTGAACTCCGATGGTTGACCAGCAGTAAACCCGCTTAAAACAGTAAATAAATAGAGAAATTATTTTCAAACTTGTATCATCTAACACTATTTTTTGTAGAAGGACGTGAAATAAAATCAGCACAGCGAGACCAGGCGGACACATTTACACGAAACGCTTAACGTTTAATTCATGTAAACTTTGTTTTAAAACCTTCAATCGGATTTTTTTTTTTTAAATAAGCGGCCTTAAAAAATGTTTCAGACGTGCAGATAAATTCCTAAGAGGTTAAAAATAAAAAATAATTTCACAGCGAGATCAAACCGATATCTTTTTGATACGAATATTGAAAATGTAAGGGTTTTTAAGTTATTAGTTGTTTTTTTCGTAATTTTTGAAAATAAAACTACAATCGAATAATTTCAAGAAAGTTTTAAACAGCGAAATTGTGGGGATACATTGTTGATAAATAAGTATAGACTAATTTTTTTCTCCAATTGTTTTTTTTTCGAAAATCAAATATGCCATTAAGTAAAAAATACATTTTATGTCCATGTTTTGTCTTTAAAATTTTGAAACTTAACAAATTTTGAAACACTTTCAGCACTATCAAAATTGAACATGGTTTATAGCCATTTTTTGTAAAAAGTCGTGGTTATTTTCAGTGAATAAGTGAGATTAAACAAATAAAAAACTGGACAGCAAAGCTATTCAGATTAATTATTGAAAAAAATAAACCATGAATGCAAAATGTTTTATTTTCGACATTTTCACCTAATCGAAAAATTTCAAAACAGTTCTTAGTCAAAAAATTTCTTCTCATGGCCAAAATATAAAATTTGAACTTATTGCAGGACCGTTTTTACTGAAAAAAGAGCAATAATGTTTTGGAATAATTGTTGTTTCAGTTCTACATTTTAACATTGTCGAAAAATTTAAAGCATTTAACATTGAGAAATTCCATTCCATGATTATATTATAAAATTGAGACTAGGTTTGTAGTCAGTTTTGGTTTTTAAAAAGGGGTAAAAAATAAAGAAATGTTCACTTGATTAACTTAAATCTGAACTTCATTCATGACCTTTTTTGTACAAACAAATGAAAGATCATAGTCTGTATTGTTATGTCAATTTAAAATTTTAACATCGAAAACTTCCAAATCTGGTCTGAGTTGCAAATTCCTTCTCAAAATCACATTATGAAATATAATAAAATTGGGACTTGGTTCTTGGTCATTTTTGGTAAAAAGCGAGTTAAAAGTCTACACAGCGGAACCCTGCGGATGCATTGTTGATCAACAATACACCACTCTACAGAATACATTTTATGAAGAAATGTTAACATTATCGCAAACCTTCAAAGTAATTCTAACTTAAAATCTCTTCCCATGACCAAAATGTAAAACGTTAACTTGGTCAATTGTAACTTTTGGTAAAAAAAAGAGAAAAAATCACAGCGGAGCCATGCGGATTGTTGATCAAAAATACACCACTCATACAAAATACGTTGTATGTATGGATTGTGACATTATCAAAAAAATCCAGACTGCTGAGTTAAAAATCCTCAAAAAAATCCAGAGGCTTAAATATAAAATTCGAACTTGTTTAATGATCTTTTTTGTAGAAAAAAAAAGATTATAGTGTCAATTAATTGTTGTTTCAATTCAAGATTGTAATTTCAGCAGTTCTGAGCTAAAATTCTCTTACCATGACCAAAATTAATTCGGTTCGTGGTTATTTTTGGTAAAAGAAACAGATAAAAATTTGCGCAGCGAAACCTTGCTGATAAATTGATCAAAAATATTCTACTAAAATATTCTATTAAAATTCCAAAGACTGCTGAGTTAAAAATCCTTTCCAGGGGCCAAAACATAAAATTTGAACAAAGAGATGATATTCTCAATTAATTGTTTCAATTCAAGATTTTAATTTCATCGAAAAGTTTCAAAGCAGTTCTGAGCTAAAATTCTCTTACCAGGACCAAAATTAATGTTAACTCGGTTCATGGTCCTTTTTGGTAAATAACTTTTCAATACAGTTGTGATTTTAAAAATCTCTTCCCACGACCAAAATTTAAAATGTTAACTCGATTCGTGGTCTTTTTTTTAGAGAGAGAGAGAGATAAAAGTCCGCACAGCGAAACCATGCTGATAAATTGATCAAAATACTCTTCTATGGCTAAAAAATTCATTTCATTTGATTTTAGGTATATTTTAACCTTATCGTAAACTTTTCAATACAGTTGTGAGTTTAAAATTGCCTTCCCATGGCCAAAATTTAAAAACGGGCATTTGGAAGGTAAAAACACAGCGGAACCACGCGGATACCTTGCTTATTAAGCAATCACTCATATAAAACACATTTTATGTAGCGATTTTAATATTATCGAAAACTTCCAAAGCAGTTCCGAATTAAAAATCCTTTCCAAAGTCCAAAATATAAAATCTTTGGTTAATTGGCCTTTTTCGTCAAGGCTAGATGAATCGTTATTTTAATTTAAGATTTATATGACTGAAATCTTTCAAAATAGTTATGAGTTAAAAATTTCTTTTTAAGATCAAAATTTAGAATTTAAACTTGGCTGATTTTTTTTTTTTTTTTTTTTTTGACAAAGTAAGGAGATAATAGTCTGAAGAAATTGCGAGAAAAAGATTTTAACATTATCGAAAACTTCCAAAGCAGTTCTAAATTAAAAATTCCTTCTTAAAATCACATTAAATTGGCATTTGGTTTAAGGCTATTGCTGGTGAAAAATGGATATAAAATTCTGCAGCGCGGAACTATTCTGATAAATTGTTGATAAAAAAACAGATACAAAATAAATTTTACTTCGAAACGTTAACCCCGTCAAAAACTTTTCAAAGCAGTTGTGAGTTAAACATTCCATCCAATGCTTTAAACAAAAAAGTTCGACTTGACAAAAAATTATGGCTAAAACTCTGCTGAGTGAATAGTGAATATGGAGATCGAGAAATTATAACAATTCCCACATAAATTCACGCATAGCATGTTTTAAAGGTTTATTTATTTTTAAGCTCTGCATGCAGAAACATGTAGAGAAAATATGAGGACACGCGAATAACCAGATACTCAACATGATCTGATTTTACCGATGAACTATTACAAACTAATGGTAAAAATTATAATACATGACCGTAAATTGTTGACACAGCGAAACCAGGCGCATGTTCGAACACAATTACAATTAAATAAGATTTGAGGATTTACAAGAATAAACACTAGAGTTTAATACAATTTAAGTTAAAAATAGATTCTGATTATTAGTTGAACTATCTTACTTAAAATTTCTTAATTGATCATACAGACAAAACATAAACAGGATAGCGAGATCGTGAGGGCATATTTAAAATATTATTTATCTTTTTAAGGATATATAATAATAATAATAAAAGAAACGGGGCTAGAGGAATAAGAAGCAAAACTAAACACGTAAACAGAGAGCCCAGAATGTTTATTTTTGCACAATTTTAATCTTTAAAAGTACAAGAAAATGTCACGGCCGGCAATTTAGTAAAACCGCTTAAATTTTAAGTACGGATATCGTTTGAACTACGGATAAATTACATACAATCGGTAACCTTTTAACGACTAATGGCATGCAACGAGAGAATTCTCCGAGTCGCATTAATTACACGCTGCCAAAGCCAAAAAAGCTCTGGTACTCCAACGAAGACGGTAATTTGCAATAATAGATCAAGGCGAACTCAACAATGAGCATCATGGAGTAACGCTTAAAATTTTGCAATAGTGGGCCGATTCTAAAAACAACGATTTTATAGGGGAACAATACTGGAAAAATATAATCTGTGCTGAAGGTGTCAGATAAAAATGAACATGTGGGGAATTTTTTTTTGCGTTTTGGCTGTTTTCAAAATTATGAAAAAATTAACAGTTTTCAAGAAAGCACAGGTTTAATAAAATATAGATAAAAATATCTTTAGTGTGTGGTGATTAGTGACCGTTAATCGATAATTATTCAGAAATCGTGAGATGCGGTCTGGTGTGATGTAGGTTCAAAGGCCAACGTTTCGGTCTTTATTGAGATCATCTTCAGGGCTCAAGGTGTTTATTTTCTGTGTAATTGTGCCATTCTTGCGGCACTCTCAACACGACACGCAATTCGCATTTCTGAATAAATATCTTTAGTGTTAAAAAAATAGGAAAAAGTATTTTGCTTTAAGAAAAAATTTAACAAATTCCAACGGGGTGCGAAAATATCCAGTGGTAATGACATTCCCTGAACCACTAATCTCAGAGATTATAAAGAGATTTGCTGTTAAACGAGTTCGGTCGGCCCATTAAACAGAAATGCCTACATCGTCTTTTAACAGTAAATAACCATCAAGGATCGTATTTTACGACCGGTAAAAAAAAATTGGGGGAAAAATATCACAGTGCGGATGGTAAATACAAGAAAAAAACACGTACCTAGGTTGTACAAAAAGTGCCGGTTTTGCCGTGTAAGCAGTGTCGTAAGTCGCGGGTCCGAGTTGACAAAGTGAAGCACCGACTTCGGTTGATACTGAAGAACTGAGAGCGAAGTGAGTCACTGCTGGCCGTGCTTCCTCCGGCGCCCCACCACGGCCGCACCGACGCCTTTTCCTTTTGATTAACCGCCGTTGGGTCTTCTTCAATTTTACGGTCTGAGCCAAGACGAGACGGGCCCTGTTGCATTTTCGACCTGAGGTCATCGGGGATTTTTTAAAAAGAGGCTTTGACCCGTTCGTTTCCGAGCAAGAGCGTCCTCCTATATCAAAATCCGGAAATTTTCTAAACAATTTAAATTCGGCTAGACTGTACGTTGTTAGTCTGCAAGCCTCAATAATTATATTTTATTTAATAATTATTATAAATAACGAAATATACCCTTTTAAAAAACAAGTATTTACATCAATAGAATATCCGTCTGCTTAGAGTCAAGATTACTGATAAAATATTGATAAAAGATTATAAAATAGCCAATAAAATACAACAATATTCTCTGTTTTATAACATAATTAGAAAGAAAAAGAAAACAAAAACCAAAAAAAATTAAATTAAAATAATAATAATTTCTTTCAACTAATTAACAATTTACTTTATGTAAGATATTGGTTGAGATAAAAAAGTTAGTGTCACGAGCGGGATTCGAACCCACGACCTTCGGCTAAATCGAGCAGCGGCGTATTTAGTCGAAGGCTGTGGGTTCGAATCCCGCTCGTGACACTGACTTTTTTATCTCAACCAATACCTTACATAAAGATTAATTAATTGAAAGAATTTATTTTGCCAATCGGACCACGAAATATATTGGAATAATAATAATATAATAAAATAATCTGGTGAACACAAAACAAGATAGATTTATATCCATTAATTAAGTAAAAAATTCATTGTATTTTTCATTAATTGAGTAAAAATAAAATTTAAAAGTGTTTTGAACTCTTGTACCAGTTCCCAGCAGTAAAACCGGGCGTGACGGGGAAATTTTTTTAGCTGCCGGTTTGGCTCATTTAAAAGTTTGACTAGGCTTTCTTCCGAAAGCACAGCACTACCAAAATATGAAACACGCATCCCGGACAAAGTGGTACATTTAGCCAAAAATTGCACGATGGTTTCCTTTTCCGTTGTACTGCACAAAGAGCACATTTCTGTACCCCTCTAGTAGCTTATCAACGGGGTAGTGTTAAGGAACAGAAGTTCTCCTCGGAGTCTGAAGAGCCAGCGAAGATCCGTAAGTTTTAGTGTTCTTCCAAGTTTTTCATTCGTTAAGCAGAACACATCGAGATTTCGGTCAAGCTTCTTGTACAAAAGAAACCTCTCTCTTGTCAGCGGTCGCTCCAAAACCTTCTTGTTATCGCTAGTCCATATATTGGAAAGAATGCACTGGAATTCAGCCATCCATTTAGAAATGTTGTCTCGAAATAATCGGAAAGAAGGATGATATCTCTCTGACAAGGAACTCCACTGCTCATACCAGAAAATATTTTTATTTATTATCAACTGAGCTGTACTTGTCGTGTAACGGTGACCTGGGAGTTTTAGGGTTTTGTATACATATTTAAAATGGAACTTTAACCTGTGCAGAAATAAGGGATCAACACGGGTTTCTATATATAGCATGTAATTTGGAGTACAAAAAGGCAAGTCAAACAACTGCTTGATCAAGAACCTCAACGATTTTTTCAACTGATCATAAGATTGAAAACCCCAAACTTGACATCGATACGTGAGAATGGAATGGCAAACCGCATTAAACACTTTAAATTTGGAAGGTAAAAGGACCAGATCGGGCTTCATGAACCCAAGCTAAAATTTTGCTGCCGAGACTTTCTGCACAGTGTATCGAGTGACAAACCGGAAGTTAGCGTCACACCCAGGTAATTGTATTCATTGACTACTTCGACAGGAGACCCTTTGAAATACCATTTTTCTTTCGAGACTAGTCTGCCTCCTCTCTTAAAAACACCTTCGATTTTTGTGAATTAACCGTTAGGTCGCAATATTTCCCAGGCTATTAATATTTTGTTGTAGAGAGGAAACATCCGCAAGCAAGACCACATCGTCTACGTACATGAAGGCTTTTATGTACGAGCTACTAACCTTGATCCCTTCATTCAAATAGGTAGGTATATCATCAATAAAAATGGAAAAGAGAAGGGGGCTAAGAATACAGCCCTGCCTTACGCCTGATTTCACGTGAAACATGTCTGAAACGCCTGCAAGCCTTAGTAACATGCAATATTTAAAACTAAAATATAAATATATTCAACGTTATTTATCAAAATCAATAAATGGTATCGATTTTGTCATAATAATTTTACAATTTCTGGGAAGTTAAAATAACAATAACATTATGTCTGGTAATTGCTGAAACGCATAAACAATAAAATTTAAAAAAAGAAGGGTTGTGAAATTCATCAAAATTTTCATAAAAATAATACTAATCAATAACCAATATAAAAGTTTATTCTAAAAAAATTACATTTTTGCCAAGTCAACCTAAGAAGTGACGTACAGATCTGATTTATGTTTTTATTGTCTAATTCTGTGAAACAAAATTTTACCACTTTTAATTAAAATGAATTAAAACTAACCGTAAAATTACAATTTGTTTCTTGAGCAGGTCATATTAGGTTGTCCAGAAAATAATAAAGGTTTTTGGATATAAATTAAAAACAATTAAATAAATAATTTTATACATTTTGTTTATTAATTCAAATACCCCCATCACTCTCAGCACACTTCTCCCAATGGTGCCAACTTTTTTATACCCTCTGAATAGAATTTTGAGTTTTTATTATAGACAAATTGTCTTGTTAGACAAAAATATATCACCAATAGGAAATGCATTTTATATCGGGATTTTCACTTAATCGAAAATTTTCAAAACAGTTTTTAGTTAAAAAAATCTCTTCTCATGGCTAAAATAAAGAAATTTGAACTTATTGCACGACCGGTTTTAGTGAAAAAAGCGTAGTAATATTTTGGAATAATTGTTGTTTCAATTCTTAAATTCAATTTCACGAAAATTTTCAACAGCGAAATTGTGCGGATATATTCTTGATAAATAAGTATCCAAAAAATGCAAAATACATTTCACGTCGTTATTATGACCTAATCGAAAATTTTCAAAGCATTTGTGAGTTAAAACTGGTACAAAGAAATTTAAAATGAATCAAATTTGATATTTGTTTTCCGGATCCGAATATACCTATTTTTTCTCTGATTGTTTTTTTTCTCGAAAATTAACTATGCCTACGAATAAAAAATACATTTTATGTCGAAGTTTTGTCCTTAAAAGTTTGAAATGCACTTTTCGTAAAGTCGTGGGCATTTTCAGTGAATAAGTGAGATTAAACAGATTAAAAACTGCACAGCAAAGCCATGCGGATTAATTATTGAACAAAAATATACCAGGAATGCAAAAGCAATTTAAGTCGACATTTTCACCTATTCGAAAACTTTTTTTTATACTCTCTGAATAGAATTTTTTAGTCTTTATTATTAACAAATTGTCTCGTTGGACAAAAATAAATGCATTTTATATCGAAATTTTCACTCGAAAATTTTCAAAACAGTTGTTAGTTAAAAATCTCAATGATCAAAATAAAAACTGAACTTATTGCATGAATGTTTTCACTGAAAAAAAGTTGATGTTTTGGAATAATTGTTGTTTCAGTTCTATATTTTAACATTGTCGAAAACTTTCAAACCATTAAACAGTTAGAAATTCCATTCCATTCTTATATTATCAAATTGAGTCTGGGTTCTTGGTCAGTTTTGTTCTTTAAAAAGTGGAAAGAATAAAGAAATGTTCACTTGATTAACAAATTTGAACTTGATTCATGATCTTTTTTGGAAAAAAAATGAAATATCATAGTCTGAATTAGTTGTTACACGGCAAAAATTGTAAATATATTGAAAGAGGGAGAACGTAGACGCGTGTGTGTGTTGTGTGTTTGTACGCGTGCGTGTGCGTGTAACCAGGGGGTGATCCTTCGAGATACAGAATACAAAACCACAAACAAACAGTAAAAATTTATTACGACTAACCTTCAAATTAAATGGGACACAAAAAGACATAACGTGCGACAGAAGGAAGAGAAATATAAATAACATTGAATTCGAATATTCAATAATAGCCAAAAACAAACTTCGAGAACAAAGATCGATATATTGTAAACAGAAAAACTTTGAGTAATCACAATTTTCATTATTGTTGTCGTTTGTATTTTATAATTCAATGATTTTATAAAATACTTGTTTTATTATTGATGTTTTGTTTATTGCAGATTATTTTAAGTAAATAGATGAACAAGACTTGCAAGAATCGCTGACGTGTCTGCCTGCAATGGCTCCCAATGCAGCAGACTGCACCAAACGGTTTCTCCAAGGGAAAAGCCGGATATTTTCAATAATATACTCACTAGTTGTCGTCATGAGGCATTTTTCGTGTTTGTCAAGTCGTACTGCAGCGTGTACCGAGGGCGTACTGAGAGCCATTGCGAGAAAAGTTGAAATAATATTGATCGGAGGTGCCCTGCGGCTGGTACGGATTCATTCTCCAACCCTTTATTATGCCCTGTCGTGTCCTGTCGATTTTCACTTTCCGCCTGGCCGTCCGACAGGGAAGTTTAGACTTTATACTTCAAGTCTAGGACTTAAAAATTCTACAATAACAAAAATCCAAGAATTAGATTATATTACGTTCAATTTATGAAAGGTTTGGGCAGGAAATTTTTGTTTAAAAATGTCGGAATCGGCAGCTAAGACAGAGAAAATATCCATACAAAGTACTAGTATTTTTAAAATAAAGCTTATTTAGCTGAAAACTACTATATTTATCAGTTTTAAATCTATCGAAAACAGAAATAATAAGTAGAATAAGAAAAAACATTAGGTTAGATGTTTTTATAGGTTAGAATTCATGGCATGGATTAGCAGACTTGTTTGCTTGGCTACAAAGCTGGCAGTCTGTTATCCATTCATCAAGATCCAAAGCTTCCTTACCAAGTTTATAAAAAAAACTGTTGGTAATTTTAAAAAGATTGATCAATAAGATCAAAATTAATATATTTCTGTACAGCCTGACAGATCAGACTTCATTAGCCTAAACCAATAGTGTCGGAACGATTTGGTTTTGCCAGGAAGAAGAGTAATATTTTAAGATTTCTAGACTCAAAAGACTGCCAAATTTGCAGATTTTCCTAGCTGAACTGAATGATGAATTTCACACAGTTTTGAGTTAAAGAAACTCACAATTGCTTTCTCACAGGATGTGATCCTTTGCTATCTAACTTTGCTTTTCTCGTATTAATTTTACATTTAAAAGGTTTATTTTCTGTTTTTTACATTTTTTTATTTTACTTCAATCTACATCACTGGTATGGGCTGAAAATCAATACCAATTGGTCAAGGAATATTAAAACCCTTTTAAGGAGCCTGTCCATCTCTCCTGTCATATTTTAAAATAATTAACATAGAAACCGATTCAAATTATTGTTGTTTGTTTATTTATTGAAATGTTTAAGATGGGTAATTTTTTTTTCTATTTTTCTATGGGTCGATATCTCACTTTATATTCTTATAAAGTTCAACAATTTTCTGAATATAACTCCAAATTTTGTTACTTTTCACCCAATATTGAAAAAATTTGCAATATTTTTATATATTAAACAAAAAACTGTATTTGTTTCAGTTTTATTGATTCTTTGCGTCAATGTATGAATAAAGTTAACACTAGTTTTCTTTATTTTGTGAGGTACAGTTTTGGTTTAAATAATTAAACTTCTACCCTCTCAATATTTTTTTCTTTTGATAAAATTTTTAAAAATATTGAAAGGTTGACATTTAGAAGACTTGTGATCATGTATTTTTGTGTAATCAAAATCATAATATTTCTATTTTCTTGATAGTATGAATTTGCTTATGAACGTTGATCACTCACTGTTTATGTTTAGTGTGAAGTATATTTGCTTTAAAGTAGTTTGATCTTAAATGTTATAAAAAAACTTAATTGTCTATTTAGAACCTATTATATCTTTTTTATGTCCATTTTCAGGAGGAGTGATTTGTTGAATGATAAAGATGGGAAATCAGCAAGAGTCCTGAATATTGATTTTAAAGTTGTAATGAATAAAAACTAGGTCTTCTATCACTCCTCGGTTCTGACAGGACTATTAATTAGTCTGTTGGTGTATCCAAGGCTATGTTGCCAAGGTGTCAAACATTTTCAGCCTTTTCTCACATCCCTGCCTCGTACAGAATATTGATTCGGCTTTGATTTTATTCGCCTTTCGGCACCATTTATTTATAGACGGATCACGATTGTCCATGACAAGGTCTCAGGGTTGTGCTTGATAAGTGATTTGTTAATAAACATGGGAGACGCGGAAGACGATGAGGTCGGCGAGTCGGATGCAAGGCTCCTTTTCCTTTTCCAATACCTGAACAAGTCATTGAGATTCAAAGTGGACAAGTGGCACAAAATGATGGCATCTGAAGAAGCGAAGGTTTTTCACTTTTCAAAATTCCAATAATTATTGAAATTATTCGAAAATTTTATTCATCGAAAATTTTTCAGACGGTCAACGATTTTTTGAACGACCCAAAAGTCGACAGGTTAATTATTTCTATCAGCCCTACAGGAAACCTTTTACCTTCAGTCCTTTTTCCTTTGAACCTGAAAGGCAAATCGTGCTACTTCATCAAAAGAAATCACGTCCCTCTCACAATGGATAATATAAGGGACACTCTCATTTTTGGTGACATGGCGCCAAAACCTTTGGAACAGCTTTCTGTTTTATTAGAAGAAGTAAATCCATTTTTTTTGTGTATATTTGAAATAATGCATTTAGCACATTCTCTTTTAGATTTTTGTTCCCATGTTGACTTCGGATAAAAACAGAGAGAAATGGCCCAAAGCGGTAGGTGAAGACATCAAAAAGAGAGTTTTAGATATGAAAGACATGGTCTACAGAGTGAAAGGAGAAGTAAAAATTAATAAACTTACACATTATTAAATAAAAAATGTAAAATTTATTGAACAACAGGTATACGGAAGAACTCTGCTTCCAATGCCGCAAGGAATGGAAAAAGTCGCAGAAGAAGTCAAAAGGCTTCAAACCAAGTAGGCTACTTATTTAAAAAATCATTATACAATTTTTGAAATATGTTTTATTTAGATTGGAAAAACACTGGGATATGGAAATGAGGTGCACGATAGAAAGCACAGTGCTTCGTTGGTCCAATCAACTTTACGAAGTGCTCAAGCAGTCTTCAACTTCTGCTTTCGACGAAGAGGAAAACCCCATGCCTGAAACAGGTAAATCTTATTTTTTCTTAAAAATTTTTTATGAATGATAATTTAAAAATAATAGAAAGACAAACTTTAATAAATTGAGGGTTAAAAAAAAATTTTTTTTAACCTGGATTGATAAATTGTTTTCATTTGCAGGTTATAAAATATGATCAAGTTAAACAAGCATAAATACTTCTTGAATTATTTAAACATTTATACCAATTAAAGTTATAAAGAGGTTGTAGTTTACAAATAGAAAGCATAACATGTCACTTTAATTGATTTCATCAAAAATTATAAAGTGTAAAACAATATGATGTTATCAAGGAAATAGGTTAACGTTAAATTAATAAAAGTAGTGGTTAAAGAGACATAAATGGATAACTTAGCATAAAAAATAATCAAACATGTTATGTATGAACATAGAAATGTTAATTTTATAAATTTATTGAGTGGTTGGACCTAAAATGTTGATAGTTGGTTTATATGTTGGTGGGATGTGTAAAAGATCAAATTCTATGAAGGAACACAGGAATAAACATAACAATAAAGCAATAAGTGAAGAGTTATGATTCTAGTATAATATGTTGAAATATGCTAATTAGTGAAGAAACAGAAACCATTATTTATGCATTAATTATTCAAAAATTCATGATTAATCTGAATAATAATAATTTTACAGAATTCACTTTTTGGTCGACAAGGTGTATGAACCTCACTGGCATATATCAGCAGTTGAGAGACCCCAGGGTGAAGAAAATGGCCATGGTTCTCGAATTGACAGAAAGCGCCTATTTCCCATGTTTCCAGCAGCTTTTCAAAGATGTGGTTTCAGCATTGAACGAAGCCAGGGAGATCGACAGATACCTCAAAACGATAGTACACTTCGTCGAAAAGCTGAGGGAAATCCCGTTCAACGAAGCCGAATCTGAATTTCTTCCATTCGTCCACACAATCGGTTTGATCTGGGTCAATTGTCCATATTTTGGCACTTCGGCAAAACTGGCGATCCTTCTGAAGGAAATTTGCAACATGCTCATGGCTGAAGTAATAAACACTAAGAATGAAATAAGATTATAAATTAAATGGTTTTTTTTCTTTAGGCTAATAAACTTCTAGATCCACCGTCATTATTCATGGGTGAAATAGAAGAAGTGCTTCCTAAGTTATCAAAAGTAATTTCAAATCTCTTGATGTTCAGGTATTTTTTTTAATCACAAAAAAAATTTACTGTTAGATAAGAAACTAATTGTTTATTTTCAGGAGAATTGTTGTTAGATATCAAAAAGAAGTAGTGAAATTGTTTCCTCCAGGAAGACAGGCATTCCCTTGGATCTTTGACAACAGCCAGGTCTTCCACAAGTATAATAAATATGTAAAGCGGCTTAATTTAATCAAGGTCGTTAATAAAATAAGTTCTTTCAGTTTAAATAATTTATTGTTAATTTATACAATTTTATAGGAATTGTTTGAAACTACATTTGAGTATATGAAGCTTGAAAAGGTCGAAGTAGGTGGACACAGGGCAGATTCATTGAGCAAGCGTTTAACCAACATATTTGATGGCTTCACCCAGCTTTACTCGAATTTTACAAATATAGATTACGATCCGACAGACATCAAAAACGGTGGGTTCACAAAAGACTACGGCCAATTCAAAGAAGCGATACTCGACTTTGATCGTAGGCTTGCTGCAGTCGCCAGCCTCAGCTTTGACGACACGACAAACTTTGAGCAGATCTTCAAGGTCTGCGATAGAAGAAATTTGCCTGTTGAAAGTTGTTGATATTTTTGATCTTTCAGATGATCAACGTATTCGGAGGGCTTCTTTTAAGGGATGAGGTGAAGAAGGAGATTGAACCCAAATACGGAAAAATCATCACACTGTTTGAACAAGAAGTGAAAATTGTAGAGGTCAATTTCGTTAAAATATTTCAAATTTTTTTTTGTAATATAATTGATTTTTGTTTCTTGATTTCTTTTTTATATATTTGACTAGTTTTATTGAATTAATTTTTTGTGGTGTTTTAGAAAGTATACAAAATTTAATATTGTATTTTGGTTGATTATTTTTCAAAATAAGGCAGATTTAAGACAACTTAGACTAAAATTTGTTTTTAAAAAATCTATAGCCTTATGTAACAATAAAATATGCCTATTGTTGATTGGTTACTATTTATATTTAACAGGAAATTTTTGAAGAGCAGAGCAAAGTTTATAAGAAGTTAGGTTGCGTCGATGTACCACAGAATTGGCCACCGGTTGCAGGCACCATTCTCTGGGTGAAAAGTCTGAAAAAGAGACTTTTGTTCCCGCTGAACTACATAATATCATTCGAACATCCGTAAGTGTGTTTTCTTGTTCTTAAACTTAATTAAAATCTTCTTAAAATTTTTGAAAATTTCAATTAATTAAGGTTTTTAGTTGAGATAGAAAAGTCAGAGTCACGAGCGGGATTCGAACCCACGACCTTCGGCTAAATACGCCGCTGTGGCAATCGTGGGTTCGAATCCCGCTCGTGACTCTGACTTTTATCTCGACTAAAAACCTTAATTAATTGAAATATATTAATTAGTCAAGCGGACCATGAAAACTAGTGAAGTTTTGAAAATTGTTTACCAGAGTAACAAAAAGTGAATATGCAGAAATGACAAAGAATGAGGCTAAGAAGCTCCTTCAGAGGCTCGACAATCTCGAAGATGATGTATTCATCAAGTGGAAAGAACGGGTACCACTTGATATTGAAAAACATCTTCAGGACAGCCTGCTGAAATTCCAAAATGGGAAAATGATTCAACTGAATTTTGATCAAAAGGTTTTTATTTAATTTAGTTTTAAAATAATTATTAATGTAATAAAAAAATTATTTCAGTTGTCACAAGCTTTGAAAGAAGTGAGATATTTAAAAATGATTGAAGTTGAAAATCTTCCTCAAGCTGCTCTTGACTTTTTTGAAAGGAATGATGAGTTTCACAACTGGAACATGACGCTTACAAAAATTACACAATGGTACAAAAATACCATAGTAAATATTACTTTTACTTCAAGCCAGAAAATTCCAGGTATAATAAAATGAGGGAGAGGTCCAAACCGGAAGAGTTTGACATAGTTGAGGATGAAATATCAGTAATCGATGATCTCATCCAACGAATGATAATGTACAACAATTGGAACAGTCCAGGTAAGTTTTCATAAACACAAAAATAATTGACCATTTTGTATGAGATGTATCGACAGAAAACGACAAGTGCATACAGCAGTTGTATGACATCGTCTGGCAACTCACTGACCGTATGAACCAGGCCCAGGACAATCTTCAAAAAATAATATCATTGATGAACCAATGGAATTTTCAGCCTTTGTACAATCGAAGCAAAGGAAAAAGTGATGAACTGCTCGTTTACACAGATATGATGGAAATAAATAAAAGGTAAAACGGTTCAAACAATAATTTAATTCCGAACAGATATATTTATGTACAACATAAACAAAAAATAGTTGAGTTGAAAATAATTTTTTTTTTTTTAACATTTGATCCACGTAGATATAATGAGATTATCGAAAATGGCCAAATTGTGTACGAACTGATCAATATCAACTTCAAACTGCTTCACAATTTGCCTCAGGATGTAAATGAGGTGTTGATAGAAGACGTCCTGGATGAGGACAAACTGAAAACTGCTGAAGAAGATGAGGAAACAAACGATGACCAGGATTGGGGCAGCAGTGGGCAATTGATTCCTGACAATGAAGACACACTCGTCACAAAGGAAGATACAGTACGATGCCAATTATGGCTTAAGGCACCAAAAGACTCGAGTAACTTTTTACATGCTTTTTTTTTGTAGGTACGCTTGGAAAAAACATCGGCTGAAAATAGCCAGAGGAAATCTGATGCGAGTGAAGACGATCCAGAGTTGAAAAGGCTAATCGATTTGACGGAGAAGTTTAAAAAATGTAATTTTTATTTTTAATTTGTGTTTTTTCTTTTAACTATGTTTCATTTTAGATGATAAAAACAATGAAAATGAATTCAGTAATCTCATTAAGGGATCATTGATGAATATCCAACATTTCTACACAAAAGGTGAAAAATTATTTAAAAAATTTTTTTTTAACTTTTTGTAAATGCAATAAAACAATATAAGTACAAAATAACAAAAAGTGAATCTACATACTCATCCCACCTTCATCATTTCTATTTTTAATGTACTAACAAAAATATCGATTCAATTTTTTCTACTGTAGAGAAAATAGAAGTTGAAAAACAAACAAAATCTTTAGAAGAAAAACAAATTAGGCTGATTAATGATTTATTGGATGTTGATGAAAAGAAACAGTCATCCTGTACGGGCAAAATTCCGACTAAAGAATGTAAGATTTATTTTTATGTAAATAAAATTGTATTTGTAATTATATAAAATAAATTTCAAGCGATTGAGGCCATGTTGGAACTTACCTCTTACGAAGAACTGGTAAATATAACCTTGTATCTAGATTAAATTAAAAACAATTAAATTCTTTTTGTGGTTTTTCAGTGTGTTAAATCAAGAACCAACAAATTCTCTGAGTCATTCAACGAGCCAGATATTATAGGTAATACTGAAGAAGAACAAGACGATGATATAGAAGAAAATGCTGATTTAAATGAAAGGCCTTCTGATCGTGCCAAGTGAGTAAATTTACTAAATAACATTTCAGTTGCTTTAATAATAATTAAAAATAGAAAAATCAACGAGTTGTGGAAAAAAGAAAGAAACACCAAGATGAAGCATGTCAAAGATAAGCTGATCCCAAGCCACCCTGCAGTCACGCGTAAAGCAAAATTGGAATTGAAAAAGAAGAAACAAAAAGAGAAAGAATTGGTTTTCAAAAGGCACAAAAAATTGCTGGAAATCTGGTCCAAGTGGTACAAGGAAATGGAAAAGCATAAAGTTAGTGTGAAGAAAGTCGATAAAGGAAGCCAGGTAAGTCAAATTTAATAACAAAAAACTTTTTCATACTCTTCTTCATGGTCATCACTGATCTAATAGATCTTCTGTGGAATTGATCTTTCTTTTTTCTCCACAAGTGCCCGGCCTTTAAGGTAGTTTAGCACTTTCTGGGGTTCGTCTTTGTTTACTTTTAAATGTTATTGGTCCAAACAGGCTGTACTGTTTTCATACTTGTGCTTAAGAGTTACAAAGTACAAAGTACATGTTTCTGCCTCTTCATAACAAAGTTGGCAGATTTCTGTATCAGTTTTTCATTTTTTTGTTTTTGAGGTGGTGATTGAATAGGCAGTGGTCAGTATAGAGACCCCCTATTTTTTTTCTTAATTCTTTTGTACTAAGAGAGGCAGATTATTATTTTTGAGGTTGAGATTCTAATTTGATTTTTTTTTCTTCGTTTCCAAGTGAAGAATGCTAAAGCTCATCATTTGTGATCAGAGTTTTGATCATTGTTGTATATAGCCAGTTGGCTATTTTTGGTTGTATGCCCATGTTTTACTACCAAATCTTGTTTTGTTGATTATGTGTTTTTTCCAGGTTAGATTTTGATCTAGTGTTATTCCTAAATATTGCATGTCCCGGTAGAAAGTTATATTTTTTGTTCTTAAGAAGGGTGCTTATAGGTTAAGCTACTTTCGCTTAATAGTGTGTGGTTTTGTTTGGGTTGACACCCAGACTTATATTCTCTCATCACGTTTCTACTAAATTGGGGGCACTTTTGCATTTATATGAAACATTTTCATCATATTTGCCCTTATGTCATTAGCATAACCTATGTTAACATATCCTAACCTATTTAACTCCACGATCAGGTCATCAACCATAACCACAAGAGTGGTGATCTTTGTTGTGGTATTATTGCTATTGATATTATGGCTCATTGATATTATTATGTTTCAATTATGGCTAAAGAAGCATCAAAAATATAAATTGAAAATTTTCAGGCTGCTGAATGTGTAGAAGAAGAAAAAGATGTTAAGGACACAATCGACCTAGAAGAAAGACACAATGAAACAAACAAAGAGAAAAAGATTAGTTTGGCTGGTATTGAACTAAGAAAGAGTTTTGCACAAAGTCATCAAAACAAAAATCAACAAACTGTCCACTCTTTGACTATAGAGAAAACACCTTTGGTAGTTTTTCATATTGATTCGAATTTATATTAAACTAGAAATAATAGCTAATTTTATTTTGTTTGCAAGGAAATATATTTGGAATTCATTGATAGTATTGTAGAAAACCCAGTCAAGCTTTTAAAATGGGACAGATATCTTGACATGGTCGATAACATAGTTGAAAAGGGCCTTCTTCATGCCGTAGGAGCTGCGTAAGTTTTTTATTCACAAACATAAATATACATCACTACAACATAAAATAAAAAAACATGACACTATACATTACTTTTGTTGAAACAGTCTACTCAGTATTTGTTGTTACACAAACAAACAGACTAAGGTATTTTAACAAAAGAAATACACACTGAGGTTTTGACTGGTTTTATGATTTGGCATTAAGTTTTAATTTGTGTAGGGTTGGATTCTTCATTGATCAAATGGAGCCGATTTCTCGTCACGGGGCTCTTTTTGAAGTAAAAATGCTCCTAAAGGAGCCTGAAATTACATTTGATCCTGTTATGGTGGCCGACAAAAACAACCCAAACTCACTGCTTGGCATAATGGAGATGATCATGCAAGACATAAATGCTATGGCACTTCTTGTTCCAAGAATATCATTTAACAAACAGGAAAAAACATACATGGTAATTTTTATTTAAATTTATTAGTTTTTCTATTATTATCTGAAATCAATTTTCCAGGATGACATACTCAAACATGAAGATATTTTCATCATGGAGTCTGAAGCGATGCAGAGATGCGATCAAGTGATTTCAAAGGTCGGTTCAGCATATTTGGGTTTAGGAAAAAAAAAACAGCTAATAAAACCCCAATTTTTTCAGACTGAGCACTTTGTCAAACCGTACTACAAGTACGAATACCTCTGGAGTGAGTGCATGTCAGAACATTTACGCCAGTTTCTCAGATATTCTAAAATTTTGACATCAGATGAATTGGAAAAAGAAGACAAGATTGATGAAGAAGAGGTTCCTCTTCTACCAGATAAACCACCAACGAATGAAGATTTTAGAAAAATGGTACTGCATTGGAATAAATGACACAACTGCTTAAAAACTATTTTGTTTTTAGCCAAATAAAGGAAATTTAAAAAAAATTGATATATCGATTAATTACTCTTTATTTTAGATTGATTCTTATGATGATCTTTTTAAAGACATCTCTGACATGAAAAGCGAGAAAATGATATCAAGTTGGGTAAAAATTGACATGAGATTCTTTAAAACATCACTGCTCAACACCTGCGGAAAATGGGGAATGCTTTATAAGCAGTACATCATGGATGACATCATTAACAAGTAAGCTTGATTTAAAATTCATTTTTATAAAAGATCGTTTATTGTTTTGCTTATATCAGGTTGGAAGAGTTAGACCAATTCATTAATAATGCAAGAGAAGGGTTGAACAAACAATTGTGCAAAGGTGATTATGACAGCCTTGTCGGCATCATGGGATACCTGCTGAAAGTGAAGCAAAGACTAGAGGAAACAGACTTCATGTTTGACCCTATAATTGAAGTCATGGCCTTGCTCAAATCCTATGGCATCGAACTTCCAGATCGTGTCTATAACTTACTTTCAGTAAACATTTCCAGTAATTATGGAAAAGAACTGTTTAAAAATATTTTTAAAACTAGGAATTGCCTGAGAGATGGGACTTACTTAAGAAATTGGCTTCACAAGTTCGAGCTGCAGCAACGCCTCTCATACAAGAAGAGTCGATCACAATAAGAAGGCGCCTTGCATTTTTCGACGTCCGTCAGAATATTTATAGAAACAAGTTTAAAAATAAAGATTTTTTCAGGTGAGTGATTTATGTTTAAGTTTATTTTTTCACAAACTCATTTTGTTTTTTAGTTGGGAATGCCCAGAACCTTATTGGGAAATTGACAAGGCGCACAATGAAGTGTGCAACCTTGAGGAACTTTGCGTCAAGTTGGCAGAGCAGGCCAGCCTTTTTGAAGTCCTTGTCCCTGAATTCAAAGTCCTCAAGCAAATCAGAAAAGACACCAAGCTTCTTAAGGTCTGTAAATACATTTATTTAAATCGATATTAAACTCATTTTTATTTTAAGATCATATGGGATTATATTCTTACCATCCGAGCGTGGATCCATGAGTGGGAGAGTACAGAATGGAAGAAAATTGATTCAGAAAGCATGGACATGGAGTTGAAAAAATTCTCAAAGGAGATTCGAAGTAAATATTAGAAAATAATAACTAAATAAATCATTTAATAATATTTCTATCCTTCAGTGCTAGATAAAGATATGAGAAACTGGGACATATATTTAAAGCTTGAGAACATAATTAAAAACATGATAACGGCATTAAGGGCAATCACAGAATTGCAGAACCCGGCGATCCGTGACCGGCACTGGAAGCAGCTGATGGCGGCCACAAAGGTAGGAGTCAAAATAGAAAATGTCTATCCATTTTCAAAAAGGGACACAAAGCATTGTGCAAAATGCGGGGCATCTTATAGTGCCTTTTCCCTTGATCACCACATTTGAAATTTATCTGTATATAAATATTGTAATATCAACTTCAGGACTGAAACATTCTACTTATAATAGTCATGGATGTAGTTTGATTTTTTAAACTTTTATATTCTTATAATTATCTCTGAAATGTAAGAGAAATTAAATTGTAAAATGTTTCACATTTCTAAAATACAAATTCCATCTTATTTTCATTTCAATTCATCCAAATCCTTATCATTCATCATTCTGATCCATTTTTACACTTTTTTTATTTTCTATTTTCAGAACTTAAACTTCATATGTAAATTAAGTAAATGCATAAAAAATCATCAATTTGAAAAAAAGTTTATTTTATATATTTATTTATATGGTATATACAGGATTATCTTTGTTTTTCTTAAACCATACCAGCTCTGTTCACATTTTTGCTAACCTACATAGGTTAACCTATATGGTCAAATCATTGTCATAAAACACTTGATTTATGCTAATTATCAACCTTTTTTACTTAAAATTAGCTTTAGGTCAAATAATAAAATTTAATAACAAATGAATATTAGAAGATTATTTAAAGCCGTGGTATTTGAATATTAAAGGAAAAATTAATAAACAAAGTTTCTAGGTTATACAAAACATTCAAAACTTTACATTTTTCTGTGTTATAAAAATTTTGCTACATAAGATATAAAATATATATTTTTTTATAATACATAGAACAATTTGCAAAGTACATAGAGTGCAGATTGTAACCGAAACTATTTTTATTTCATTTAGTATCAGCATATTAGTTATTTTAGTTGATCACAGTTTAACGTCAATGGCTCGTTTGATTGTACTACATGAATATAAATTTCAGGTTACACTTTACAAATATTACGAGGTTTCTCAACGGCATCAGGTCTGTTTAAGAAGAAAAACAGCCTAGAAATGCATGTTAGAATCTTGGCTGTACGAAAGTGCCGCCAATGCATGAAGTAAAGAGAAAAAAGTTCGCTAGTGCAACATTTTATTCATAGTGATTATAAGTCAAAGAACAATTAGATGTTCGTTCTTTAGGAATAGCAACAAATCCACCAAATGACTGTGGAAAAATATTAACTAGGCTTATCAAAAAGAAAGAAAAAAAGAAAAAGCACAAATAATTGTAGTTTATATTTTGCAGCATAGTGTAACCAAATGTGAACAATTTATGTTAGATATTTAGATTATAAAGCGCTCAAAATTAATTGGTTTTTGATATGATAAAGGTTATGTTCATAATCGACCAGTCTACTACTCTCAAAGACCTTCTTGATTTAAATTTATATAAATATGAAGAGGAAGTTAAAACAATAGTCGATAAAGCGGTTAAAGAGATGAGCATGGAAAAAACGCTAGGCGAATTGGCCAGCATCTGGTCCACCATGGAGTTTGAGTACGACAACCATCCTCGGTCGGGTTACAGCATTCTCAAAGTGAGCGAAGAGATAATCGAGACATTGGAGGAAAATCAAGTAAATACGATAAACAAGGGTTGTTAAATGTTCAATATCAAAACCTTGAAATCACAGGTGCAACTGCAAAACATGCTGAGCTCCAAGTACATTGCTTATTTTTTGGACGAAGTGTCTGACTGGCAAAGACAGCTCTCTAATGCCGATCAGGTCATTCATACCTGGATAGAGGTACAGAGGACTTGGATGTATCTTGAGTCGATATTCATCGGCTCGGATGATATCCGGAGGCAGCTACCTCAAGACTCCAACACTTTTGACACAGTTGATAAGGATTTCAAGGTTTGTATACTTTGTATGCAAATAGAAGTTAAAAAGTCTTCTGAAAAAGATAGTGAACTTGAGCTAGTTTGAGTAATAAATTTGTATCATATTTTTACCCTATGAAGTTTCTCTAGTTTGATCATCCTTGATTTCACCATTTGCTACAAACTTGCTATAAACAATGGCAAAAATGCTGGTTCATTCCAAATGGTTTGGCCCATCAGAAAACACCAATATGGAAAATAGAAATAATTGAAAATGGCAAAAATTGCTGTTAATTTAATCAATGCTCAAATTTTTCCAAATTCTGGAAAGCAATATAAATAAATTACAGATTTTTAACTCTCGTAAATTATAATACCCAATACCTAATTTCTAGATTATGCTCAAAGAAATATCCTCTATTCCAAACGTCATCAAAGCCTCGTGCAGACCAGGACTCCAGGATAAACTGGAACATCTGCAAAAAGATTTGACAACATGCGAAAAAGCTCTGGCACAGTATTTGGAAACGAAGCGTCTCGCATACCCAAGGTTTTACTTTGTTTCATCGGCAGATCTTCTTGATATTTTGTCAAACGGGAACCAGCCTTTGCTAGTCTGCAGGTGAAATTTAGTTTGTTTATTTTTCATATAATTTTATTGAATCAGACAGTAAATTGGCTAAGAACAGTCTTAACTTCGGATGACTGCTATTTCAGACACTTAACAAAACTTTATGACTCAATTGCTAATTTAAAATTTATCGAGGAGAATAACATGGCTACTAATATAGCTGAAGGGATGTGGGCGAAAGATGGAGAGTTTGTAAAACTGAGCATGACCTGTGACTGTTCTGGTCAGGTTAGTTAAGCCTGAACTACTTACTAGTTTTGAGAAAAATGACAAAAACTTTTAAATTTTAGGTTGAAAAATGGCTAAACACTGTGACAGATGTTATGCGTAAGACAGGACGACATTACTGCAAACTGGCTGTTAACACTTATGATGACAAGCCAAGGGAGCAGTGGGTTTTTGATTTCCCGGCCCAATCGGCTTTATGCGGAACGCAGATATGGTGGGCAGCGGAGGTCACAGCCGCATTTATGAAATTAGAAGAAGGCTATGAAAACGCCCTGAAAGATTATCAAAAGAAACAAGTAAATAATTTAATTTTTTAAACTGCAGACAATTATGACAATTTTTGCTTGTAGATTCAACAGCTCAACCATCTCATCAACTTATTGCTGGGTGAACTCTCAGATGGAGACAGGCAAAAGGTGACCACAATTTGTACAATTGACGTCCATTCGAGGGACGTGGTCTCGAAGCTAATATCACAGAAAGTTGAGAGCAGCTTGGCCTTCCAATGGCAGTCACAGTTACGACACAGGTATCTCAATTTTCATTTGTGTCCTATGTCAAAAAAGCAGGCCAAACTTTTTTTCAGATGGGACAGTAAGCTGGAAGATTGTTATGTCAACATTTGTGATGCACAGTTTTTATACGACTATGAATATCTCGGGAATACTCCTAGACTCGTCATAACACCTCTCACTGACAGATGTTATATAACTTTAACTCAGGTAAGGAATATTTAACGCTAAAGGGGCATTTAGAAATACATAATATATACAACAGCATATTATTATATACTTAAAAAAAATGGTTCATAAAATGTCTACTTGTTAGCATATTGTGGTTTCTTTAGATCTGGAGAATTGAAAATTTAATTTTAGAAATATATGTCAAAAATGAAAGCTTTAGTTTGAACAAATTTGTCATTGCTGATTTAGTCATTTTTAATGTGGCTGAGTTTAACCTAGAATATCAAAGCTAAAATTGCAAAATGCTTTAGTTCAAGCCACTTTTCATGATAAATCTATTTTACAATAACATTTATTTAAATTTAAATGAAATTATTGTAAAAACATAAGTCAAAAATGAATGCTTTAGTTTGAACAAATTTGTCATTGCTGATTTAGTCATTTTTACCGTGGCTGAGTTTAACCTAGAATATCAAAGCTAAAATTGCAAAGTACTTTAACTCAAGCCACTTTTTATGATAAATCTATATTATAATACCATTTATTTAAATTTAAATGAAATTATTGTAAAAACATAAGTAAAAAATGAATGCTTTTATTTGAACAAATTTGTCGTTGCTGATTTAGTCATTTTTACTGTGGCTGAGTTTAACCTAGAATATCAAAGCTAAAATTGCAAAATACTTTAACTCAAGCTATTTTTCATAATAAATCTATATATTATAATAACATTTATTTAAATTTAAAAGAAATTATTGTAAAAACATGTGAAAATGTTTTATTAATATAATTTGAAAACAAATGAAGTACTGAAGATCACTGAGAAACACAATAAAGTTAAGTTGCATTCTTTGTGATCCACGGTGGAACTTCTTATCTCATTAATGATATATAGCAATGCCGGTTCTAGAGATGCAAATATGACCAGCTTATTATTTGGTATGGTAGTAAGGGGCCACATGAGAATTCCCAAAACAAATTCTTTGCTCGTTTTACACACCACCGGCGAGCCCATGTCAAATACATCGCTACTAGTTTTTGCCATTAAGCCGCAAATTTGACCATACATGGCCAGACGCACGCCACAGAATTCTGGCTTCACTTTGCACAAGTAGACAATACACTTATTGATATCGATCGTAGTGAGAGTGTGAATATGGTGTTTTGAGTTCCCATCAATCGTCTCCGTGGAATTGCCCTCCCAACCTGCCAGGTTGCAAAAAGACATCGACTTCTGCAAAGAAAACATCTCCTTAAGAAAGTCTGAACTGTAGTTTGAAAACAATGGGACCAACTGGATTCGGGCGTTCAATGGAAAATTTTCACTCACAACGGCAAAACCGTAATTGAATGACCAGTATTCATTTTTGTCCATTCTGCAGTTCTCATGGTGGTAAAATTTTATCACTTTACGCCTAACGGCTAAGCTGTCCATCAAAGCATTGCTTACCCCAGCAACCACAAAATGATCTGAGATATTCAAAGTTTTCAACAGAAATGAAACCATCGCTGGCTCTGAAATACACTGGCATGTCGTCAACAACTTATTTTCAGACAGGAGTACTCCAGAGCATAAATGCTTATTCAACCTTTTGTTTACGATACTAGCCACGTACGGATAAGTGTTGTACTGAGTATCCGCAACTTGACACACTAAAAACACTTCAAAAATCACCACTGTTAAAATAAACATAAAATGCATTGTCAAATAATTTCAAATTAAATAACTACATAGATATGTTTGTTTTTTATTACATCTGATTTTATTTTACTATAAAGTCTGTACCGTTGTAATGCAGATAATGCAATACTTTTCAAATTTATCAATATGCTTCATGCAATAAAATAAATTATTGTATCCGATACAATATTTAGATACTTATTGCAGATCGTACTCTATACAAATTTGATGACAAATTGAGGAGTCTAGTTAAAAAGGTAGACATCTCCATGTCATGTCATTGTTTACTTTGAGTGATTTTCTGCTATGAATAAACTCTTGGATGGAAAACATGTTTTCTTTGAGTTTTGATTATACGAAATGCACGATGTTCCAAAATTTCACCCACATAGCAAGTGGCTGTCAAAAACCTTCCATGAACAACAACCGACTCTGTGCGACTCTCCATTGAAATTCCCGCCCACACCATCACTGAGCTACGATGAAAAGATTGGCTCTGGGAAAAATTACAGGCTTTGCACCTTTCATTTCGCCTTCTCCACACTATTTCACGCCCATATAAACATTGTAGAGCAAATCTACACTCATCTGTAAAAACTACAGCAGACCAATCACCCGAAGACCAATGGCTGTGTTCTTCAGCAAATGGGAGCCGTGCAACTTTTTGCATTCTGATTGATTCTGGTCCTCTTATGGGACTAAAAGCCATTCATTTATTCTTCTTCGAGCAGTGCCTTCAGAAATTTGGACACTGCGAACTTCCTGGAGCTGATGAATCGCTTGAACAAGAGGAAGGTTTCACAAAATTCTCAAAGTCAAAAAAAGATCATCCTGTGGTTCTGTTACCCGAGGGCTATGAATTTATGGTAGGACCCAGTTTCTTGAAAACGTCTAATGGTGTCTCGCAGCGTTAAGTAGGAACTCCGATGGCAATAGCTGCATACCTGATAGAAAGTTCATCATCAATAGTGCCACACCACGCACAACATCCTCAGCACTAAGTGGCATTTTTAAGTTTAAAAATTGAAATTAAGAAAACAAAGACGAAAACTAAACAGTTAAATTGCTCAGAATTCAAATGAGACTGAAAAACATTTTAAATTCTGTAAAAAGTAAACATCGAAAAATCCTTGAAATCCTTTAACGGATTAAGGATTAAGTGTGTTTACCTCTAATTGATATTTCCAATTTACAACATAGCAGAAACAAATATTTATTGATAAAAACAATGAGAATTATTATTAATAATCAATCAATAATTATCAATAATTAAAAAAAATAAATAAATTTATAAAACACAAGAGCCCAGGCAGCTAGCCAGCCGGGGAGAAAAAAAAAAAAAAATCTTTCGAATTCAAATTAGAAAAAATGAAAAAATCAGTTGGGTGGTATTTTTTTGTTAGTGCAGGAAAGAATGAAGAATGGCGATTTTTTTTTTTCAATGGATACCAGGAACTGGAGGAGTTCCCTCCTGAGCACTGCAGCTGTACAGCTTATTGTGCTTTATCCCTGGCTCCAATTTTGGGGGCTCGCAACAAAAGTGTGAATTTGAGCCCCTGGTGTGCAGGTGTTCTTCCAACGAAGAAACTCATTTATGAAGGGGGTTGGGACCAAATTCAAAGTCGCTGAGATCTGGTCCCGCTCCTTCCATTGATGAGTGCCATGTCAATTTCTTTCATTTGCGGCCACTGGTCCCCTTAGGCATCAGAAAAATTCCAGAAGCGACGATGGGGATCGAAACCACGACCGTGGGATCTACTAGCCGAGAGTTTGTCGCCTTAACCACTCGGCTACCGCAGACCCCAACAAGAATGGTGATACACAACCTAGCAGGAGCATGAGGTTAACTTAAGAAAATGAAGGGCTCAATCTGAACCCAACATTCTGATCGGTCAAAACTGGAGAATTCTGATTTACTTTTTGTAAAGGATGGTTCTTACTCACAGGTTTTCCTTAAAACCTATGAGTGAGAACCATCCTTTTCAAGAAGTGAATCTACATACTCAACCCGCCTTCTTTATTTCTAGAAGTCTGATTTTGTAAATAGCACCTGCGGATAGATTTTTAAAAAGCCTCCTACTTCTAAATAAGGTTTTATATGTTTTATAGCCGGTTTATACCAGATTCACCTTGCTGTATAGTATTAAAAAAGCCTTGTGGGATTATCACGATGGGTTCTATCCAAGCAAGAAGGTTATTGTGGAACTTAGTAAATATTTGGGGAATTAATTTTTTGATACATGGGATTTTAAGTTTGTTGTGGTGGGTGGTATTGGATAAATAGTAGGAACATTTATAATTGATTTGAGTTTTTAGACTGAAAGGATTGAAGACATTGGATGTTGAAAGGTTAAGTGGTTGCCAATAGTTCTATACCATATGTCCATAGTAACGTTTTGAGATTGTTTGTTGATTATCAATACAGCAATCTTCCTATAAGTTTGTAGAGTAGACCACTCGTTTAGGTCTTGATAAGCCCGTCTGGGTGGTACCCAAGATAATAAGCGAAAGAAAGCATCAAACAAATGCCATACCATAGTTTTAAAAGGTCATTGCTAAACCATCTTTAACGCATCAAAGAAAATACTAGACTGATAATACCATTCAACATAATTATTAAAATAAACCTGGAACTCTTCTAAAGTAGAGATGTAGATGGTTATATAGATTTATTGGAAATAGTACACGGACCTAAAGGAACTACGGGCACCACATGGAATTTTCAGACGTAGAAATGTGCACATGAAATAAAAAAATCTTGAGAGTACAAAATAGCCAGGCAAATCTAAGCACATGAGATCAACTGAAAATATCTGGGACTGCCTGAATACCTTAAAAAAACATTTGGTTATATCATCTATTTAGAATAAGAAAGTCTGTCAAGTTTCAAGCATAAGAAAGTCCTTTTGAAGGTCAGACTTACATAACAAATGGTAAAAAAAAATATTTGGATAATTAATATAAAACCAATACCTTCTTATAAAATTTGGGTACAAAGAATTAAAAAATAAATAAGTTCACAAATTGAAAATTTTAATAGAAAGGTTTGTTTCTAGTCTCTTCATCTTGTGATGGGAGGAGCACCAGCAGGACCTGCCGGCACAGGGAAAACAGAAACAACCAAAGATCTAGGGAAAGGTCTTGGAATTATGGTATACGTTTTCAACTGCTCTGAACAAATGGACTACAAGGTATGCTACATTATAATGTTTATGCGCTTTCATGACAAATCACTTTTTCAGTCTTGCGGCAACATTTACAAAGGCCTGTCGCAGACTGGCGCTTGGGGCTGCTTTGACGAATTCAACCGCATATCGGTCGAAGTGCTGTCAGTCGTCGCTGTTCAGGTATTGTTAATTTTAACCAGTATTATTTTAAACACCGAACTTGTATGATTTTCAGGTCAAAGCAGTGCTCGATGCTATCAAGAAGAAAAAGAGCAAATTCAATTTTCAGGGTGAAATCATATCGTTAGTCCCGACAGTTGGAATGTTTGTGACAATGAATCCTGGATATGCCGGAAGAGCAGAACTACCGGAAAACCTCAAAGCACTTTTTAGGTGGCGAAATAAATAATAATAGAAGTTTTATTAACCATTATTGAGAGCTTACCACCTAAGTCAATGTTTTCCAGGCCTTGTGCAATGGTAGTTCCTGATTTTGAGCTAATCTGTGAAATAATGCTTATCGGGGAAGGGTTCCAAGAAGCAAGAGTGCTTGGAAAAAAATTCCTAACGCTCTACTCACTTTGCAAAGAACTTTTGTCCAAACAAGACCACTATGATTGGGGCTTACGAGCAATCAAATCTGTTCTAGTAGTCGCTGGAAAGCTTAAGGTATCTATTCCAATTTTTCACTTTCCTTTGCACATAGTTTAAATAGAAAAATGTTTAAAGGAGAATTTCTCAATATTTTATTTAAAAAAAAAAATGCAAACCTTTTATTTCTATTTGTATTTTTCTCACTGTAAATAAGGCACTACTAATAATTAATTACAAAAAATCTTAATTCTTATTAACAAAATAAACTTTGTTTAAACTTTTAAAATAAATAACTAAATCGCCTATTTTATGCACTTGGTGGATCAGAGCTTGGATAAGTTAGTAAGTATTAAAATTATCACTAACTCTAAACTAAGACGAATAATTAAAAATGGATGAAAATAATAATTGCATGACCGGTTAAAATAGGCACTGTTCACTTGCATGATTGTAGTTGTAAAACAGTAGAAAGTGATTGTGTCGTTTCGTGCCAGCGGGGTGATAGGAACCGTCCAGAGGACCAAGTCCTCATGAGGGCCCTCAGAGATTTCAACATTCCCAAGGTTATCACGGATGATCTGCCAATCTTTTTAGGCCTCATTGGAGACCTTTTCCCCGCTTTAGACGTCCCTCGGAAACGCGACATGGATTTTGAGAAGCAAGTGAGGCAGGCGGCAATTGATATGAAACTCCAACCTGAAGAGGGTTTTGTTTTAAAGGTAATTTTTCATCTTTTCAATCACAAGTTTGTAAAATTTATAAATGTTCAATTGTATATTTTTTTAACAGATTGTACAATTACAAGAGTTATTTGCAGTGAGGCATTCTGTCTTTATAATTGGTAATGCCGGTACTGGAAAATCCATGGTATGGAAGGCACTGTATAAAACGTATGTCAATATGAAGAAAAAGCCACATTATAATGACCTTGAGCCGAAAGCTGTTACGAACAATGAGCTTTTTGGTATCATCAATCCACAAACTAGAGAATGGAAGGATGGTAATTTCCAAATTACTTAGGACAAAAAGAACAAAATAAATATGTATTTTTTTAAGGGTTGTTTTCTGTACTGATCAGAGAGCAAGCCAATATGGGTGGTGATGGACAAAAGTGGATGGTGATGGATGGTGATATCGACCCGATGTGGATCGAGTCACTCAATACAGTCATGGATGACAATAAAGTCTCTTTTTTATTTTTTAAATTTTTTTATTATTTTTTTATTTATTTTACAAATAGTAAACAATTATTATTAATTATAATAATTATAATTTTATAATAATGAATTGATTATTAATTTGTTATTATTGTTCAGGTTTTGACATTGGCAAGCAATGAACGAATCGCACTCACTTCTTCGATGAGGCTTCTTTTTGAGATTTCCAATTTGAGAACTGCAACTCCAGCCACAGTCTCCAGGGCTGGAATTCTCTACATCAACCCGACAGATTTAGGATGGAATCCGTTAGTTATATTTTGTATAATCGTAGAAACACTACACGTAGTAACATAATTAAAAATATTTTGCCTATACATTATGTAGAATCAATAGACTATAATCATCTTCACTGTGTTTATATGGTTGTATTGTTCGAATAATACTTCGTTGTAACATTGTAACAAACAATGTCATAATGAAATGTTTATAGCCAAAAATTGATCACTGAACTATGAAAGGTTATAATGTGTTCAGTTAATTTGTACGTTTTACATGACTTCGCTGAATAATTATTTGATTGCTTATAATGTTTATTAATTAAAACTTCAAAACTTAGCTATGTAGCAAGTTGGATTGACACGAGGAAGCATGATGTTGAGAAAGCTAACCTTACCATGCTATTTGACAAGTATATACCTACGATCATTGAAGCTTGTCGTACAAGGTAATTATTCAAATTTCTAAGTTTTGGTTGTAAATGAAAAAAAAATATATTTCAGGTTCAAAAAAATAACACCGATACCAGAAATCGCTCACATTCAGATGCTCTGTACTCTGCTTGAGGTATTGCTTGAACCACCCAACATCCACATCGATTGCCCAAAAGAATGGTATGAGATCTACTTTGTGTTTGCCAGTATCTGGTCATTCGGCTCGGCATATTTCCAAGATCAGGTACATACGAAAATTAAACATTTTATATAAATTTATTTATAAAAATTTTTCAGCTTGTGGACTGGAGGTGCGAGTTTTCCAAATGGTGGGCAAGTGAATTCAAAGCGGTCAAATTTCCGCCTGAAGTGCCACAGGTTGAACAGGTCTTCAACTACTTCATCGACCCGGAGACGAAGAAATTCGTTTTATGGACTGAAAAACTCACAAAATTCGAACTCGATTATGATATTCCATTACAGGTTTGTTCAAAAAATGTTTAAACTTCTTTACAATATAAAATATATACTTGTATTAAAGTCAACGCTTGTGAACACTGCGGAAACTACAAGAGTACGTTACTTCCTCGACTTGCTTATTGAAAAAAATAAAGCTGTTATGCTAATCGCACCAGCAGGATGTGGAAAATCTGTCCTTATAGGGGACAAAATGTCTTCTCTATCAGAAAAATTTGCAATTACAAATATCTCTTTTAACTTTTACACAACATCAGGTTAGTTAACTTAAATAACTTTAAAAAATGATAAATAATATTATTAAAATTTCTTGAAGAAATGCTACAAAAAGTCTTGGAAAAGCCTTTGGAAAAGAAAGCCGGTCGGAACTATGGACCACCAGGAAACAAGACCATGATTTATTTCATCGACGATATGAACATGCCAGAGGTTGAAATTATTGTCTCAACTTTTCAAAAATTTGTCTATTTTATTAATTTTTCTAATACAGGTCGATAAATATGGAACCGTTCAGCCGCACACACTTATAAGACAGCACATGGACTATCAACACTGGTATGACAGGCAGAAACTATCCTTAAAAGACATACACAACATCATGTTTCTGAGCAGCATGAACCCGACTGCAGGAAGTTTTACTATAGATCCTAGGCTTCAACGGCATTTTTCAGTGTTTGCTTTGAGGTTAGATGTAATTTTTAACCTCATTTTTATGATATTTTTTCTAACCTTGTTTATCTTTAATATCATTTCTAGTTTAATAATTAAACCTTTAATATAAACTAATGATAAGATTTAACCTTGTTTATTATATAAGGTAAATGAAAGATTATGAAAAATAAAAATATTAAGGAGAATGTTAATACATAATTGTTTCATATAGGAACATCTCATTGAGATTTAGGTTATAAAAAGACAATTTTAGCCAAATTGTGCAATTTTTCTCCCTGGGGTCACTGGTTACTAGGCTCCTTACTTCTGCAACCTAAAAGAACTTTTCTTTTAACCCATTATTTTCATACCCTAGAAGTGCACTATTTTTGAGGTTATTGAGTATTCTCCAGGGTTTCTATTTGCTTTTCCTGGACATTAGTGACATCTTTCCAAAGTGGCTGTACCGTTTCCAGGCTAATGCTTTGCAGTCGTATGAGCTGATATCTTAGAAGTTTCATGGCAGAGTTGGCAGATTTCTGAATCACTTTTACAATTTTTTTAAGTTTGCTTAAATTCCTGCCTGTCAAGCGAGGTACATTTTTTTCCTGGTTGAGTTGTTGAGGAACATCTTTGATTGTTTTGCACCTGGTGAATTCATTCAGTATATGGCCAATTCTATCTCCACCTATTTGTTCAATTCCACTTTTAGCATACTGATGATGGTTGTGTTGAGTTGGTTCTGGTCCAATAGGTGTCATGGCTTGGCTTTTGCTTGTTTGTCATTGCCTTGCAATCCTTTCGTGTCCCATCAGAGTTATCCTAGACAGTTTTGAGTGAAGGTGGATTTTAGACCTTTATTTTTGCTTGGCCGTCTGAGAATATATACTGAAATTTGATTATTTTTATCACTGACTTAATTGTATAATCAATATCAACCAGGTATAACATAGCCAATATCATAAATTTGGCTATTTTGAAGTCAATGATAATTCTAAAAATATATTTTTCTTTTAAATTATTTTGTTGTATAGTTTTCCTGGGACTGAAAGTCTGACACACATATACTCATCTTTACTGAACCAACATATAAAAAACAGCTTGAACAAATTTTCACCTTCTGTCATCACCATAGCTGACACTGTAATACAGCTGGCGTTGCACATGCACTCAAGAATGCAGCAGACGTTCCTTCCGACGGCGATTAAATTCCACTATCTGTTCAACTTGAGAGACCTCAGCAATATTTTCCAAGTCTGTTTATTTTGCCGGTCGAGTTTTTTTATATTTTTGATATTGTCTTAATTTCCTTTCAGGCGATCATTCTGACAACACCCGATTGCATATCCAACGCTGGGGATTTAGTGAGGATTTGGATTCACGAGACGACAAGGGTTTACGGTGATAAGCTCATCGATCTGAAAGAGCAAGACGTCTTTAACAAAATGGTTTTGGAAACAATTAAAAAAGTGTTCACAGTATGTCATAAACAAAATATTCAATTATTCTTAATATTAATTTTTTTAATTCAACTTGTTTTGCAGCTTAATTTGATTGAGGTAGGTTTATTTTTACATAGTAAAGCTTCCATAGAATATTTAAAAATTATGTGGTTAATATTTTAAGGATTTACACGAGGGTGATTACATAAGCAACCCTCTTATTTATTGTCATTTCGTCGACGGTATCGGAGATCCGAAGTATCTCCAGATGAAAAGCTGGAAGCGTCTCAATTCGCTTCTTTCCGACGCTATGGCCCAGTATAATGATCTTGTTTCCAGCATGAACCTTGTCCTTTTTGAAGACGCCATGTCACATGTCTGCAGGTATCTTTTTTAAGGATATTTACAATGGAGGATGTTTTTATTTGATTTTTTTTTAGGATCAATCGCGTCATGGAAATGCCCAGAGGGAACGCGCTTCTAGTCGGGGTCGGAGGAAGCGGCAAGCAGTCGCTCTCTCGCCTCTCCGCTTTCATCTCTAGCCTCGACTCCTTTCAAATACAGCTCAAGAAAGGCTATTCTACAAACGACTTCAAAGTATGTTTCAATAATAAAATTCAAACTGAAAACTACTGATTTTTTTTTCCAAAGTGCGATTTGGCTGGGATTTACTCAAAAGCTGGATTGAAAAACGTAGGGATCATGTTTTTAACAACAGACTCGCAAATACCAGACGAGAGGTTTCTAGTTCTCATCAACGATATGCTATCCTCTGGAGAAATCCCTGAACTTTTCGCTGACGATGAAATCGACAGTATTGTCAATTCCATCGGGCCGGAAGTACGCTGACATTAAAATTTTTTATGAATTTTTAAAAAATCTTACATATTTCAACAGGCCAAAGGCTTCGGCTTGCAAGACACAAAAGACAACTGTTGGAAATTCTTTATAGACAGAGTGAGAAAAAATATAAAGACGATTTTATGCTTTTCTCCTGTTGGTTCTACCCTGAGAGTCAGAGCGAGGAAGTTCCCGGCTTTAGTTAACTGCACGACGATCGACTGGTTCATGGAATGGCCTCAAAAAGCCCTTGAAAGCGTCTCGCAAAAGTTCCTGAGCGAACTTAACGTCCTAACTGTAAGACGAGTGAAAAAACTCAAGAAAAACTTTTATAATCAAAAGCGGCAAAATGTTTTAGACAAAGCTTACCGAGCCTATGTCGCTCCTGATGGCCTTCATTCACATGTCGGTGAACAAAATGTCGAATTCTTTTTTACTAAATGAACGTCGCTATAACTACACGACGCCTAAGTCTTTCCTCGAGCTGATCGGACTTTACTCGAAGCTGCTTAAAACCAAGAACCTCGAGGTTGTCACGAAGATCAACAGGCTCCAGAGCGGTCTGCAAAAGCTCGTAAGCTGCGCTCAGCAAGTAAGTGTTTCATCCCCCTCCTTAAAAAGCCGATCGGGTTGTAACGAGATTCTTTCGAAGGTTGGAACGCTGAAAATTCAACTTGCAGAACAAGAAGTCGTAGTGGCCGAGAAAAATGCCAAAGCGGGCGAGCTGATCGCTGTAGTCGAAGAGGAGACTGAGAAAGTTTCAAAAGAAAAAAATATAGGTTGGAAAATAAGTTTTGTATGAATCTCTATTATTATATAATTTCTGGATGGACCTCAAAATGCATAAAAATTATACAATTTTGAATTTTTTGTAAACCTTAACTATTGACACTTCAATCAAGATCATTTCCTTCTAAAGAAAATGATTTAACCATTTTTGACATATGAAAATCTTGTACTTTTTTTACAAGTAATGACGGCAATATGTATAATTTTAGCGCCATTCTATGGAGAAATTTATGTAAAATTGACGAGGGAGAGGTAAACAAAATGGTGCTACATAAGAAATTGCACTGTTTTTATTTATGTGTAGAGATTAGTGACCGTTAATCGATAGTAATTCAGATATCGTGAGATGCGGTCGGGTGTGATGTAGGTTTCAGAAAAACATTTTCTTTATCGTGCCAACTTTTCGATCTTTTATTGAGATCATCTTCAGGGCTCAAAGTGTTTGTCTTCTGTGTAATTGTGCCATCCTTGTGTGTCGTGTTGGGCACTCTCAACTCGACACACAAGGATGGCACAATTACACAGAAGACAAACACTTTGAGCCCTGAAGATGATCTCAATAAAAGATCGAAACGTTGGCACGATAAAGAAAATGTTTTTCTGAAACCTACATCACACCCGACCGCATCTCACGATATCTGAATTACTGTTTTTATTTATATTTAATGGCTTACTAACTTATCAAATAAAATTGTACGAAAGTTGACAGAACTTTGGAACATTTCAGTCTTGATCTAGCAACAAAATTTTCTAAAAAATTCCCCACCTATTTTTTTTAATCGGTTGATTTGTCTCTTACAGCCTTTCAGAAAAAGTCAATTAAAAAATTTAAATTTCGAACGTTGATCTATATAAATTTTTCTTTAAAAATTTGTTCAGAGTAACCTTCCCCTCAAGGACTTAACGTGCACTTATTTCCTTTGATTAAGACCCAGAAAAAAAAACTTATTAGCTTCATTTCCCTTTATAGGCATGATTTATCATTTAAAAAGTAAAATTTGCACGTTTTCTTATTTTACCATCCTTTTTTGCCTAAGTGTATTATTTCTTATATTCACTAATTTTGTGGTCCGCTCGACCAATTAATATATTACAATTAATTAAGGTTTTTAGTTGAGATAAAAAAGTCAATGGCACGAGCGGGATTCGAACCCACGATCTTCGGCTTGATACGCCGCTGCTCTACCACTTGAGCTATCGTGACCTCGGCGTATCCAGCCGAAGATCGTGGGTTCGAATCCCGCTCGTGCCTTTGACTTTTTTATCTCAACTAAAAACCTTAATTAATTGTAATTATTTCTTATGTTGAACACTTAAAAACTATTATGTTTTGTGATTTTTTACAAGGTTGTTAATTTGTAGCCAAGGAGGAAGAAAGAAAATGCCAAATAATAGAAGAGGACGTCACCATAAAGCAAAAGATGTGCGAAGAGGATTTAGAAAAAGCTCTTCCTGCTTTGGACGCAGCTCAGGCTGCTTTAAACACCCTGAACAAAGTAAATCCTCAATATGCGTTATTCTACTGAAATATAATTAAAAATAATTATTTTAAAGACGAATCTGACTGAAATGAAGTCGTTTGGTACGCCGCCTGAAGCGGTTGCGAACGTCGCCGCAGCAGTTATGGTCCTTCTGGCTAAAAAGGGAAAAATTCCAAAAGATAGAAGCTGGAGAGCAGCAAAAGTATTATTCTGTTCATACCTTAATTAATTGATTTGATTTTTTTTTTTTTTTTGTATGTTTAAGTAGAATTTTTTGCCTTGATCAGGACAGTTTTATTTTTGTTTTTAAGGCCATGATGGGTTCTGCAGACGCTTTTCTTCATAATTTAGTCAACTACAACAAAGAAAATATTCACCCGGAAATAGTCAAAGCAATTCAGCCATACTTAGACGACCCAGAATTCAACCCGGAGAACGTCATTACAAAATCCAGTGCAGCTGCTGGTAATTTATCGAATTAAAAAAAATCGTCTATACTTTACAATATAAAATTGTTATATTTTGAGGCTTATGTGCTTGGGTTATTAATATAATGAAGTTTCACGAAGTCTGGATGATCGTTCTTCCGAAGAAAAAGGCGGAAGCGGCAGCACAAGCCGAACTTGCCCAGGCGAGGTCGAGGCTGTCGGAACTGACCGAGAAAATATCCGTAAGAATTATTTTTGGCAATAAATTTTCTTCATATATAAATTTTTTCTCTTCTATAAGAAACTGGAAGAACAGCTGGGCATTCTGACGGCCAAATTTGAAGCCGCCATGGCAGAAAAGCTGGCGTGCCAAGCAGAAGAAGAAAAGACAACGCAGGCCATCGACCTTGCTAACCGGCTCGTCAATGGCCTCGCTTCGGAAAATTCCAGATGGAAGGAAACAGTGTCTGAGTAAGTCTTAATCAAAATTAAACACTGAGGAACTTATCAGGTAAAACTGGTCCGCGCTTTCTCGCTTGATTTGGCTTCGACTGGTCCTTGGAATGATTTTGGTATACTTGATTTAAGAGTACTTTTATCTTTAAAAGTAGTTGATTTTGTATCAAATAAATGTCTTTGATGCGAAAATGTAGTGTGTGTTTACTATAGACAAACAATTTTATATAAAGAAATTAAAATACTTGAGTCGGTTTTAAGGCTTTCTGCAAAAATTACAACCCTGCCAGGGGATATCGTCCTAGTTACTGCTTTTATATCATATGTCGGGAGTTTTACAAGAAGTTACAGGGAGGAACTTGTTGAACAACAGTGGAAGCCTCAATTATCAAAATACAAGGTTTGTGTGTTTAAAAAAAAAGGATAGTTGGAATTTTGTAAGTTTGCCTTATTAGCCTCAGATTCCATGCACTCCGGATATCGACCCGATGACAATGCTCACCGACGATGCACAAATAGCGTCTTGGAACAACGAAGGCCTTCCGAACGACCGGATGTCAGCTGAAAACGCCACGATTTTGACGAATTCAGAAAGATGGCCGCTCATGATCGACCCTCAGGTAATCCTCCAAGGGTTTAAAAATCTAAGCAGTTTAAAGACCCCGGCAGTAGTTGCAGGGTATAAAGTGGATAAAGGTAAAGTACGGGGATCGGCTCAAAGTGATAAAACTCGGCCAGAAGCATTATCTGGACAAAATAGAAAAAGCGGTCACAGAAGGATCGACATTATTGATAGAAAACATTGGTGAGACTATAGATCCTGTTCTGGACAATCTTTTAGGGAGGAACCTCATCAGAAAGGGCAGGTCGGTTTTGGCAAGTACACCTTGTGATTTTTTTAAAAACCGACTGTTTCAGGGTGTTGAAAATAGGCGACAGAGAGATAGACTATTCGCCAAACTTTCGCTTGATTCTCCACACGAAGTTAGCAAATCCTCACTACCAGCCCGAGATACAGGCTCAAACGACTTTAATCAATTTTACAGTCACGAAGGACGGCCTGGAGGAACAACTTCTTGCCGAGGTTGTCAAAGAAGAAAGGCCTGATCTAGAAGCTACGAAGGTAAGGTAAAAATATCAACGGAAAATTCTATATCTAAAATTTTATGTCCACAGGGAACCCTGACAAAACAGCAGAACAACTTCAAAATTCAGCTGAAGCAGCTTGAAGACGAGCTGCTCCAGAGGTTGTCAACCGCCGGGCCTGATATACTATCGGACAAAGAGCTTGTAGAAAAGCTCGAGTCGACGAAAAAAACAGCAGAGAGCATAGAGGTGAAGGTCATCGAGGCAAAAGCAACTTCTGAAAAAATCGACAAGGCGAGGGAGTTCTACAGACCCGTTGCGACCAGGGCATCCCTGCTCTATTTTATCATGAACGATCTGAATAAAATCAACCCCCTCTATCAATTTTCACTTAAAGTAAAACCATTTCAAATCAATTATCGTTCACATTTTTTTAACTCCTTAATAACACTTTTTAGGCTTTTAATATAGTTTTTCAAAATGCAATCAAAACGGCGGAACAGTCGGACGTCGTGAGCGAAATGGTTGACATATTAATTGAAAACATCAGTTTCAAAGCTTTTATGTATACGACTCGAGGATTGTTCGAATGTGACAAGCTGATTTTTATGGCACAAATGGCCATCCAGGTACTAGTCGCAAGGCTCTTTCCGAACCAGTTCAATTTAAACACCAATTAATTAATCTTTATGTAAAGTATTGGTTGAGGTAAAAACGTCAGCGTCACGAGCGGGATTCGAACCCACGACCTCGGGCTAAATACGCCGCTGCTCTACCACTCGAGCTATCGTTGTCTATTTGATTCTCGGCGACAAATGAAATGGCCAATTGAGAATCGAATAGATTACACGACATTTGAGAAATGGCAAAAAGGAGGGAAAATTTGAAAGGTTGGGTTGAGGTGGGAAGTCGGTGAACGAGGGATCGAAGTCACGATAGCTCAAGTGGTAGAGCAGCGGCGTATTTAGCTCGAGGTCGTGGGTTCGAATCCCGCTCGTGACGCTGACTTTTTTATCTCAATCAATATCTTACATTAAGATTAATTAATTGAAAGGTGTTATTTGGTCTCGGACGACGAAATCTAATGAATTTAAACCCCAATGTTGCCCAGATTTTGCAGAGGAAGAAGGAAATCACTCAATCCGAACTCGACTATCTCCTCAGGTTCCCTTACATACCGAATTTGGCGTCGCCAGTCGATTTTCTCACCGGCACTTTGTGGGGCGGTATAAAAGCTCTTTCGTTAATGGACGAATTCAGGTATTAGGTCATAAAAAAATCATTTATTGCCGCTAAAAAAATATATACTTTTTCAGGAACCTTGACAAGGATATAACCAGTTCGGCTAAAAGGTGGAAGAAATTCACGGAAGGCGAGTGCCCAGAAAGGGACAAGTTTCCCCAGGACTGGAAGAACAAAACGGCCTTCCAGCGCCTCTGCATGATGCGCTCCCTAAGACCGGACAGGATGACTAACGCCATGAGGTAAATTTTCCAATCAAGAAAAATGTACTCATAACAGATATTACTGACAGAGGGAGGGAGAGATGAAAGTGAGAAAGGAAGAGAGGGTGAAACAACAGACAGAAGAAACACGTAGAGTGAGAAAAGGAGAAATAGTATATGATAAGGAGAAGTTGTTACAAAGAAAGAAACATTACAGGACAATGTAGAGAAAAGAGTAAGAAGAAAAAGTTTAAATAATAAGGGATATTATTGGGGCGTCGGTGGCCGCAACGGTTTAGGATGGATTTATTCAGGCACGTAAAGGGAACGTAAAGAGAATGAGCCGAGCCCGTAACGAGTCGTTGGAAACTTTGCTTTCTTGCTTTTCAATGGAAGTGTTTATACAAAGACGAGGCTCGTGCGATTCCCGGCAGATTCCCACTCAGTTGTCGTCGCCAGCGATTCTGCTGAGGTTGTCGTTCAGTACCCGTCAGTGTTCTGTTGAAAGAATTCGTTCGTTTTTATCGATGTGTTATAAGATATATCCAAAAGCGGACAGGCTGCTGAAAACAACACCAAAAAATAAAACATGAAGATCAACTGAAGTTTCTCTTGTCCTATTCAAATGACAAAGACACACTAACAAATGTTTCAGTGCAAGAAACATCAGCACTAACTGAACAAATAGAGGCAATGGAAGAAACACCCTCAGAAGAGCCTAATGATGCTGAAACCAACCAGCCCCAAACCTCATCTGCCGTTGGGAGGATATTCCGAGGTCGCAGCAAAGTGGGAAGATCTCGTTCCAAACGTCTCGTCTCAGTACTCCCAAAACTGTTTCAATACAAATTCAACATCAACAAACGTAGCAAGTAATAACAACAGCCCAGATAGAGATTCACTTTGGTCTTCTTGTCACAGTGATCAACCTTTCACGTACAACCCGCAGCTGCAGATAACTCTTTTCGTGAATATTTCAACAAGTATCCCTGGTTACATTAATTTTAAATAAGTGTTGTAGAAATCATACTATTACCAGCGGATAATGATAAAATATTCAAACATGTTTTGACATTAGACTTTTATTTCTACCTGAGACACAGCTCTACGTTTTCTTTTTCGGTTATAGGCTCCTTCCAGTTTGTGTTTTGTTTTTCGATGAGCGGTCTGATTTTGTTGAGAAGCAATTCAAATGTTGCTCATCCTAAAATATTCAAAAAACTTGCGATCGTGTGGAATTAATTGTTTGAAGATTTTAAATTAGCCGTGCGTTCTGCGGAGTTTCCATGCTGGGTGGACACTCCACATTTTCTTCGTTTTCTTCGTAGGAGTCCGTTTCTCCTCCTCCTCCAACGAAACTGCTATAGCAGCCAAATTTTCAATCGAAAAATGGAACTGCGACATGCTTGCAACAACGCAACTTGATCACAACTGAACAAAGTGTGATCATATGTGTACGTGTGTGTACGTCACGGTCTCTTTACGTACATGTATAAATACAAGCCTCCAAAACACAGACTCGGCTCGTTCTCTTCACGTTCCCTTCACATGTCTGTATAAATCAATCTTTAGGCGTTGACAGGGCGCTCATCACTGTAAGGTAAAGGCCCCGGGTTCGACTCCAGCGGCCCTGCATTCGAACACGACCTACTTAAAAATGGGCTTTTTTTTCAAAAACACCGGCAACCTGAGGGTTTATATGACCTCTGCCGTAGCGAACCTCGTAAAAAAAAAGGAAAACAGGGATATAACTGTAACTAAGAAAATATAGATAATAGTATAAAAAGAGTCAACAGCCCAAAGGCAAAAATAAAGCCCATTAAGAAAATGTGGTAAGTCATATAAGGAGGGAAAAAATTGGAAGACAAACTGACTAATCATTAATGTAAGTGAGTTATCGTTAAAATGAGAACTAAAAATGGTATAGGGACAATAATAACCTGCTCAGAGTAATAAATTATATAATTTTATAACGATAATGTGTATTGTTATTATCATCGTTAAAAGATAAAAAAATATAAAACGAGAGTGGCTAACAAAGACAGGAGCCATATTTGAGAATGACTTTTATTAAGTTTTAGTACTTTCTGAACGGTTCTTGTTCGTTGGTAGTAAATTTTAAATTTTCTACCGAAGATACTTCATTGAGGAGAAACTTGGGCCGAAGTTCACAAACGCCAGGACCATGGATTTCGACCAATCTTTCGAAGAGACCAGCTCAACGATACCCGTCTTTTTCATACTGTCGCCGGGAGTCGACCCGACACGAGTGAGTTCCGGTTTTATTTTTATGTTTTAACATTTATTAATTGAAATTTGGGAGAATTTAGGATGTCGAGAGGGTCGGGAAACGCCTCGGGTTCGCGACGGAAAAGAAAAACCTGTACAATGTGTCCCTGGGACAGGGGCAGGAATGCGTCGCTGAAGCCGCTATAGACAGAGGGGCAAAACTGGGACATTGGGTCATTCTGCAGGTATCAAATTATTTTGATTTCTCTGTTGGAGGTGGTTAATTTTTTTCTGCTTTTTAAGAATATCCATTTAGTTGCGAACTGGCTTCCAACTTTGGACAAAAAAATGGAATCGGCACATGAAAATCCAAATCCGAATTTCAGGCTGTTCCTCAGCAGCGAGCCCGCTCCAGACCCGAGCGTGCACCACATTCCACAGGTGAGTAAATTTCATCCCCATGAATGAATTATTTTTATCAATTTTCAACCAGGGAGTGCTTGAATCTTCGATCAAAATAACAAACGAACCTCCGACCGGAATGATGGCCAACTTGCACAAAGCACTTGACAACTTCACCCAGCAGACCCTCGAACTTTGCTCGAAAGAGACGGAGTTCAAAGCGATCCTCTTTTCTCTCTGCTACTTCCATTCCGTGGTCGCCGAGAGGAGAAAGTTCGGACCTCAGGGTTGGAACAAAATTTATCCGTTCAACGTCGGTGGGTTTTAACAACAAAATCTACCATTACCAAATATTCTTATGACATTTCATATAGGCGACCTGACGATAAGCGTTCACGTGCTTTACAACTACTTGGAGAACAACAGCAGAGTCCCTTGGGAGGACTTGCGTTATTTATTCGGCGAGATTATGTACGGGGGGCATGTGACTGACGACTGGGACAGGCGCCTCTGTCGCACCTACCTCCAAGAATACATGTGTCCACAATTGGTAACAAATGTTCAAAATAGTTTTGTGATTCTGACTTGACACCAGGGTTTTTCTCCAGCTGGAAGGAGAGTTATACTACGCTCCGGGTTTCCAGGCACCGCCAAATTCCGACCTACTTGGATATCACAGGTATTAAAATAGTCAAATATATATTTTCACATGAACCTAGAACTGAAGTTGATGAGGTGCTAGTTAGTACAGTTTCAAAACCTTCAGAAAGTTCAAAAGAAATGGGTGAAATCGGCAGGTTATTAGGCAATTGAGGTCTCAAAGGATAATCTGAATAAAACCGGTCAAAATCCCATTTTTTTAAAATGATTTTTTGCTATTAAACAAACAATTTACAAAAAGTATTCTTATTTAGGTACGTTGATCTATGCTTGCCACCTGAGAGTCCCGTCTTGTACGGCCTCCACCCCAACGCTGAGATCGGATTTTTGACAACCCTTTCGGAAAATCTGTTCAAAACGGTTTTAGAGCTACAGCCGAGAGATTCGGGCTCTTCTTCAGGCAGCGGAGTCACCAGAGAAGAAAAGGTTCTTCTTAAATTTTCACATTTGAACTTTTCCTAATTGAAGTTGTACCTTCTAAGGTGAAAACCATGGTCGACGACATACTGGACAAAGTGCCTGATGAGTTTAACGTCGGTGAGATGATGGTGAAGACCGAGGACAGGTCGCCTTACACCATAGTCGCCTTCCAGGAGTGCGAGCGGATGAACATACTCATGAAAGAAGTCAGGCGGTCTTTAAAAGAGCTAAGCCTCGGTTTAAAAGTATAAAATAAAAATCATTCGACTAATATCGTTTTATTGAAATTTATTAAATATTACAGGGAGAGTTGACAATTACGAGTGAAATGGAAGAGCTGGAGAGTTCGCTTTTTATGGATTCCATCCCTGAAAGCTGGACTTCGAAAGCCTACCCGTCCTTGCTTGGTTTAAGCGCTTGGTTTTCGGATTTACAAGTCAGACTAAAAGAGCTGGAATGTTGGGTGGCCGATTTTTCCGTAAGTCTTTCTGGTAATTTCAAAAATCATGGACTTATTTCTTAATTTTGTGCTTTAAAAAAGTGGCTACGAAATTCTACGAACGTGGGCCGATTTTAATGTAACACTTTTGGTAAAGCTAGTTCGAAAAATATAGGCATATTTTAACTCAAATTGCAACGTAACTCTGGTTTTTCAAAATTATTAAAAAATAAAAAATAATCTAGTATGAGTAGCGTGATTTGGATCCGATCAAAGTAGCAAAATTGATCACAATCCATTAGATTTCGTGGTCCTATTGATCAAATAAATTCTTTTCAATTAATTAAGGTTTTGGTTCGGATAAAAAGGAGGGAAAATTCAAAAAGGTGGGGTTGACATGGGACGTTAGTGTCCGACTGAATCGAAGCCATGATAGCTCAAGTGGTAGAGCAGCGGCGTATTTCGTATCAGCCGAAGGTCGTGGGTTCGAATCCCGCTCGTGACACTGACTTTTTTATCTCAACCAATACCTTACTTAAAGATTAACCTGCAATAATGTTGCATCAACCCAATAGAATTGCTTGAACATTTAGAAGCATATCGGCATTTTTCCATCCTCATCAGTTTGTCAGGGTTATAAGCAAGACGAGCTGGAAAACCTACATCTTACATTTACACAAATTCAGCTGGTGCAAACTGACCTGCCTCTATTCGGTCTGCTACGATCCTCCTTGACTTCCTAACTACATTGGCTTGTCCATCAGACGTGACTTGTCACTTCTCCACTTTCATTATTTACTCAGAGTTCTTAGCAGATGAGGGTGATCTACCGACCAAGAGTTTGATTGAATGTGTTCTGTGTTACGTTGTTTCTATTATTGTTTTAACGTTATCTCACATGCCCTGCGTGGAATAGGTTGTTCAAGGGTTTGATTTTTTTTAGTAAATTTTACATGCATGGACTTGGAAAGGTTCTTAACAGCGCACTACTATTTACACCACTCTCTAGAATGTCTGGAAATTGTTGATATATCCGTTGAGCTTCTTCACAAATACTAGAGCAAAGAGGGGGGTTTTTGTGTCGTTTTCATTTGTAGGGAAGTCGCTTTTGTAGACAAGGTAAAGAAATTGGTCCACCAACCCTCCTTGTTAGAATCCAGACTAAATAGGTTAAGAAGTGGAAAGATTATGTATAGCCTTCTGAAATTTTTGAAAGTTTCATCATTTAAATTAGTTAATTATTTCTCGGCTTCTAAAGCCCGTTAGCAAGAAACCTCAAACATGTATCCAATATTTTTTGACCTAGTATCACCGAAGAAAGCCTCATTCAGGTGATCCCATATCCGTAGCCTCCGTTTGTGATCTAAACCAAATTTCCTATATAAAAACTGTAATTTTACAATTTGAATCAATAGTTAAAATAGTTTTTTCGATAAATTTATAGCTTCCATCGACAGTTTGGTTGGCGGGATTCTTCAATCCGCAGTCCTTCCTGACGGCCATCATGCAGAGCACTGCAAGAAAAAACGAATGGCCTTTGGACAAAATGTGCCTACAGTGCGATGTCACCAAGAAACAAAAAGAAGATTTCAAGTAAAACCTCGTGCCGAAATTTACCAAAACAAAAACACTAAAACAATTTTGATTTTTAGCAACCCACCAAGAGAAGGAGCTTACGTCAACGGTTTGTTCCTTGAAGGCGCCCGGTGGGACGTGCAGGCTGGTGTCCTCACCGAGTCCAGGCTCAAGGAGATGTTCCCGATGATGCCCGTCGTCCACATCAGGGCTTTGACGGTCGACAAGCAGGAAATTAGGACGACTTACGAATGCCCTGTTTACAAGACGAGAACCAGAGGGTCGACCTACGTCTGGACCTTCAACCTGAAGACCAAAGAGAAACCTTCCAAATGGATCCTCGCTGGTGTCGGCATTCTGCTGTGCGTATAAAGGCAACTTGCTGAGGCTGTAGTTAAGTGCAACGTTTATAAAATTACATTAGTCATGTGGGCAGAAAGATTTTGATATATTTTCAATTTTATTTTCTTATTTGACGTCTTTAGACAAAAATTAACTGAATTTTATCTAGAAAAAAATTATAGATTTTTAAATTTTAAAAAGTTTATAAAAGAGCCATAAATAAGATTTTTTTTTAACATTTCCCCAGCCTCAACAAACTTGCTTTTTGAAAAGTTGTTACTACAATGCTGTTACCTATTTAGATGTTTATCTGTTAATTAGTTAGTAAATTAATTAAATTGATAATTAGCAATTTGTCTCTTTTGTTCTTATTTTCAAATCGTTAAAACTATCAAAACCCTATGCAAAAAGTAATTTAGTCAAATCTCAATTAAAAAGCTATATTTAAAAAAAGGAGTTAGTAATATGAAATATGAACTTTGTGAAGTATTTAAGCCTGAAAGCTTGAGTTTAATCTAGCCGTATAATTTACGTATAGTCGAGATGATTTGATCTGGAAAGTTCAAACTTCAAATGAAGTCTAATACGGTCTTGTACTTTTTAAAGATTATTATGTAATAAATCGATTTATTGAGTAAATAAAAATGATACAAAATGTATCAAGCGCTGGCGTCGGGTGCGCCGATGATGTTGGATAGCTCGGACATGAGCGTTTCAGTCCTGTAAGCGATGCGAATATCAGGCACGTTCGTCTTTGAAATATCGTTTCCGGCAACTCCTTCCTTCGTGTATTCGTTGCCGAGCCAATACCTCTTCGTGTCGTGAGGGTAACCGCTGATTAGGACCGAATTCCTCGCTAATTCGCACATGTCGCACGGGCTTAGCTTCCAGACCTGAGCGGCGATGCTGTACTCCTCCATGAGCGGCTCCTTCGTGAAGTGGAACTGGAGGGGATCGTCCGTACTTAGCGAGACGTTCAAACCGCGCGCGAGGTATTCCGGCAGAGGGTTCCGGTGGTAGTTGAGGAACAGGAGGTTGTTGCTCAGCGGCGACATGGCTATGCCGACTTGCGAGAGGTAGTAGAGGTACTGCAGTACTGGTACTTTGCGCAGAAGGAGCCCGTGGGATATGCTTTCTGAAAGAAGGAAACCGGAGACCAGATGCTGCACCGGGCCCGCTTCGCCGCAGTGAGGCCTGAGAGAGAAACAGTTCAACCCTCTGCTCTTCCTATAATGGTTCAGTACCGTTATATTGGCGTACATGTAGAAAAGGTAGTATCCGTAAGGTGGATTTTCCTCAGTAGCCCAACCTGATGGGACCTAAAAATAAATAAAAACATTGTAAATGGAGGAGTCAGTTATATCATAAAGTTTTTAAACAATTCACATCTGCAAAAGTTCGTTTCAAAATTTGTCCAAAAAGCTGGATTGTCTGTGAGTTTATTTGGGAGAACTCTTCTCATGGTTAATAATTATAAATCCTACCTTCCTCATGTTTGATCGCCTCTTATAATCACCAACTATCTATCCGGGATTGTTTGTCCTTTTTGAGTTATATCAGGGTTATAAGGAGAGTGTACCGTGACCAACGAATGAATATTGAGACCATATAGGCAAAACTGCAAGTCCAGTACTTCTATGAAGTTTCTTCCCACATATTTGTAAATGGAAGATTCAGTTATATCGTAAAAAGACAATCTGCCTAAATTAGTTTCAAGTTCATCCAAAAATTTTTGGTTTTGGTATATGTTTGTTGGGATAGGTTGTGTTGATTTGTAGTGAGGTGTTGTAAGTGATTTGTTATTGTGTTAATGCATTTTGAGCTCTGTCTTTTTCTCCCTCTGTTTTTGTGGATTTTTGAATTGTATAGTCTACATCCGTAATTAATTTAGCTGTTGGACAATCTGTTTTGTTGTAAGGAATGGAATGTTTTGGACCAAGTGGCAGGAAGTTCTGGATTTCTGGAGGAATGTTAGTTTTGGTTAGGTTTAGGAACCATTTGTTTGTGTTCGAAATTCGAAATTTTTTTCTTTTTCTAGCTACTAGGTTATATGAATCCCCGGGATGACGATGTTTTTGAAAAAAGCCCATTTGTAAGTATGTCGGGTTCGAATGCAAGGCTGCTAGATTCGAACCCGCGACCTTTACCTTAAAAAAACAAACATTGGCTGGTTTACCCTCCCCCTCATATACAGATCAGGCATATTTGTATATAATTATATATACAATTTGCTCAATGTATACTTTAAATAAAAAATATACAAAATTTTAGCAACCATGTATTACTGTGAAAAAAAGAAAGAAACTATAGCGATAAAAGCTGTACATTGAACATTTAATCTTAATGTAAGGTAATGGTTGAGATTAAAAAAAGTCAGTGTCACGAGCGGGATTCGAACCCACGACCTTCGGCTAAATACGCCGCTGCTCTACCACTTGAGCTTTCCTCACTTCACTCGGACCAAACTTCCCACCTCAACTCACCTGTTTGTGTTAGAAGGTGTTTGTTTGTTGATTAAGTTATTTAATTTTTTGATGTGTTTATTTTTAATTTGGTCAAAGTGGGCATTGTATGCATCTTTTTGATGTGTGTTAAATTCTTTTAAAATGTCTGTAGGTATTATGTTGGCGGCACTCTCAACACGACACGCAAGGATGGCACAATTACACAGAAGACAAACACTTTGAGCCCTGCAGATGATCTCAATAAAAGATCGAAACGTTGGCACGATAAAGAAACTGTTTTTCTGAAACCTACATCACACCCGACCGCATCTCACGATATCTGAATAACTATTCATCCAAAAAGTTGGGTACAAATTATCCTCGCTTCAGACGCGTCTCGGCACTGGTCAGGTTTAGAAGAAGGGTGAGGATAGAAAACAAGTCCTTCCCTTTATGTAAATTCTACAGGTGTGAGTTACTTTGTCTGATTCTAATCTACCATTGAAGATTGACACCAAACACGCGAGTCAAGTTCTCATATATTTATAAATAGAATAGTCAAATATGCTAATAAAATTTTTAAACAATTGTATCGATTCAAGATTCGTTCCACAAGTTGAGTACATCAACATTTACCTAACTTGACTTTGTTGCCTCAGTTCATCTTGGACAACTCGATTATTTGGTCTGTCAGAACTCGCCATTTTAATTAATTTGTCAGGGTTAGAAGCGAAGGGGGTAAGAAGAAAGAAAGCGAGTATTTATAAATGGAAGAGCCGGTTAGACAATAAAAATTTAAGAGAATTTACATATGCAGAATTTATATTCAAGATTTAACTCGAAAGTTAGGTCAATTTCAAGTTGATATGGGAGACGTTTGGTCGTCCCCAATGATCCAAAATACACTATTTCGCTGTTTTAGTCCATCAGAAGCGTATAGGCATTTTACTCCATCAGGTTGTCATCTTCATTAATTTGCCAGGGTTATAAGCAGGGCGAGGCAGTAAAGTAACTACTTTGATTTATGTAAATTCTACCGATGTGATTAGTAATGTCCTCACTCTGGCCTAACACTGAAGATTTTGAAATAAACGAGAGTCAAATATATTATAAAAATGTAAAAAAATGTATATTCCCGAAAGATATTTCAAAATTCGTCCAAAATGTGTGGTGTGTAGTGACCGTTAGCCGGTGATTATTTGCAGATCGTGAGATGCTGTCTGGTGTGACGTAGGTTTTAGAAAAACATTTTCTTTGTCGTGACAACGTTTCGATCTTTATTGAGATCATCTTCAGGGCCTGCGATTTATAAACATTGTTCAAATTTTACAAACACATGTAGGATGTGAAAAAAATGAATTTATACAATACTAGAAACTTTTAGATTTCAAAAGAATGAATTTATAGAACGCTAGAAAATTTTTGATAAAAAAAACAATTTATACAATGCTAAAAATTTTAGATTTAAAAAAGAATGAATTTATACAACGCTAGAAGATTTTTCATAACAAAAGAATTTATACAATGCAAAAAATTTTAGATTTAAAAAAGAACGAATTTATACAACGCTAGATTTTTCATAAAAAAATTTATACAATGCTAAAAATTTTAGATTTAAAAAAGAATGAATTTATACAACGCTAGAAAATTTTTGATTAAAAAAAGAATGAATTTATACAACGCTAGAAAAATTTTGATAAAAAAAAGAATTTATACAATGCTAGAAAATTTTAGATTTAGAAAAGAACGAATTTATACAATGCTAGAAAATTTTTGATAAAAAAAATTATTCAATGCTAAACATTTTAGATTTAAAAAAGAATGAATTTATACAATGCTAGGAAAATTATTGATTAAGAAAAAAATGAATTTATATGGTTTTTTAAATCAAATATTTTCTAGCGTTGTATAAATTCATTATTTTTTAAAACTAAACTTTTCTAGCATTGTATAAATTCAATTTTTTTAATCCAAAAATTTTTAGCATTGTATAAATTCATTTTTTTCACTTCCTATATGTATTTGTAAAATTTAAACAATCTTTATATATCGCAGGCCCTGAAGATGATCTCAATAAAGATCGAAACGTTGGCACGATAAAGAAATTATTTTTCTAAAACCGACGTTACACCAGAGCGCACCTCACGATCTCCAAACAATCATTCGTCCAAAAGTTGGGTATTCTCGGGGTTGGTAGATGTTTAGACGTACTACTAAAGATTGAAACCAAACAAGTGGGTCTAACATAAAATTGCAATACTTCTGTACAATTTCCAAATACAATTTCAGTGAACCTAACCTATTTATAAACGATCATCCTTTAAATATAACTTTAAGAAAGTGTTGAAAATTGGAGCAAAATGCAGTTGCATGAATCATGCAATATGCTGTATACGAACCTAAATATTTCAGAAGTATTTGTCATTCACCACTTACCTCTACATCTTTGTCAAACAGAGGGTTCTCAGGTTTGCTCTCATCGTCGACGGAGTCGAAACCGCCGACGTACTTTAAAAACTTGTGGAGCTCCGGGTGGGAATGAGGATCGTTCGTGACTTCGAAGAGCGGCAAGAACACGTTGTCCAAGAATTGCTGGAAGTTGTCCAGGAGCTTGTTGGTTTTGAAAACGTCGAACAACCTCGGCACTTGGATGAGCCATCGTACGTTTTCCGAGTAGACGTCGTGGCCGATGACCCACTTGGCCAGCTTGTCCCACTCGTCCATGTTTTTACCGTAAATCGAGAGACGCAGCTCGACATTCTGGTACTTAGACTCTTCCAGATCCGATGCGACTTCTTTGATAATTCTTGCAAAATATTTACCGTTGAGGTAGTTATCGGTTTTCAGAAAGACCTGGCGCAACCTGCTTTCACCTATTGGGTTATACTTCGCATTGAATTTGTCAAACCTGTGTACAAGAAGATTTTGAAGTTTTTATGACTCTTTGAGATTGACTTGAAACTTACCGGTGAAATGTGTGCCTGTCAGCGTGGACGTCTAGCCTGTCTACTGTCAGGTCGTAAGATGTGAGGTTCATGGACTGAAATACATTCTGCAGGGTCATTAGCGTCGTGCCGTCTTTCGACTCCATCACCGGTTCGTCTTTGGAATTCTTAAGGGTTTTCTTGATGAACCTCAACAAGTGTTTTTGGTTCATGCACGACGAAGCGTGGACGTGAGTGTCGACCTGGAAAATTCGCCTTATCAGAATGATGGCCAAATTGACGTCGCAGTAATCGCCCAAATTACTTTGTGGATGTTGTAAAAATCTCTGTGAGGGACGACTTTCTGTGCCGCTAGCTCTCTTCCTTCGTTCAAAAGGACGTGAAGTTGAAATTTGGCTGAGAGGAAGATTAAACGGCGGTAGCAGAACGACTTCAACGGGCCGTCCTCGATGAAATTCGACAACCGGCACATGTCCGCAATGTAAGTTTCCAGTCTCGGATAAGGGAAGTTCAAAGGTTGTTCTAAAACACATAAATTATAAAATATATATAGTTTTTAATTGAAGTTTTGGTCTTATGTGATATATCCTGGTCTATCAAGCCCATCCACATGGTGAGATGACCAAACGAGTTTTCGACCAGAACCAGCTAGGATTGGCTAACCAGGATAGGCCAACAAACCTACAGAATATCTCACAACTTTAAAAAAATATATAGTAACTAAACAGTGATATTCACCTGAGGTTTCGTCCTGGTAGACCTCAAAAACTCCGTTCCTCGCCTTGACCATGTTCTTCGCGGACGGAAGAAATTCGATTTCCCAAGGGTTAGAGATCTGCGGAGTGTATACGGGACGGTTGTCGTCCTCTTTGTACTTGCTGCTGTCGTGGATATTTTGCCCACCTTGTGCTCCATTGTCCAAAAATCTGGTGGAATTTAAAAAATCCGAGTTTTACCAGATCTAGAAGTTTTATAATCGTTTCGTTTTTGATTATTTCCACGAAACTTTTATGCTCCTTTATGGAAAGGCAGTAGTTGAAGAATTTATGATGAGGACGGTGAAATTGCTTGTTCTTTGGCGACGGTTTGGATTGAAAGGGTTTTGAGCTTGCACTAGGTATTCTTACTTGGATTTGACCACTTTCTGCCATACTTTGTTTACTGAAAGATTGTTGAAATATGAAAAAAACAAACAAAAAAAAACAGCAAATTGTGGGGCTTGACCAAATCCTCCAACATCCAACAAATCCAATCCTTTCAATCCAAAGTTATCCGCCGTATTATCCGTTATCCGGTGTTAGTTATCCGTGGTCCCTTCCCCGTCACCAATCAAATGATCCATAAAAATCTTAAAATGCCGTTCGTTAAGGAATCCGCCAAGTTTTTTTTTTCTTTTTTCTAGCTACTAGGTTATATGAATCCCCGGGATGACGATGTTTTTGAAAAAAGCCCATTTGTAAGTATGTCGGGTTCGAATGCAAGGCTGCTAGATTCGAACCCGCGACCTTTACCTTAAAAAAACAAACATTGGCTGGTTTACCCTCCCCCTCATATACAGATCAGGCATATTTGTATATAATTATATATACAATTTGCTCAATGTATACTTTAAATAAAAAATATACAAAATTTTAGCAACCATGTATTACTGTGAAAAAAAGAAAGAAACTATAGCGATAAAAGCTGTACATTGAACATTTAATCTTAATGTAAGGTAATGGTTGAGATTAAAAAAAGTCAGTGTCACGAGCGGGATTCGAACCCACGACCTTCGGCTAAATACGCCGCTGCTCTACCACTTGAGCTTTCCTGACTTCACTCGGACCAAACTTCCCACCTCAACTCACCTCTCGAATTTTCCCTCCTTTTTGCCATTTTTCAATGATTTTTTATTTCAACCAATCTAACGAAATCTAATGGATTTAATTCTAAGTTGACATAATATTATGTCAAAATTATTAATTTATATGTAAATTACTATTAATTAATTTTAATTATTATGCAAATTGAAAATCACTCATTACAATAGGGATAATTGCTTACAGACACTTTTAAATATATGTATATTTTTTAAATATTTGTTTTTCTGTTAATAATATATACAAATATAACATTTATGTAACATATGTTAAAATTATGTTTTCTCACCGGGAAGTCGTAATCGGAAAGAACTGCTGGGAGAGGTCCATGTACCTCCTTCTCATGTGGAGGGCCTCGAGTAGCATCTTGGAGGCGTGGCATACCTCGTCATTCGTGACTCTGCAGGTGACCTCGCCGGCGATGGAGACCCTCTGGAAGGTGGTCGAATCGTCGTGAGCGTCCGCCGACAGATTCCGACACGAGCCGAATATGCTCGGATCCGACTTTTCCTTCTCTTTCAGGTTCTCTTCGTAGTTCTCCTCTTCCAGGTACGCCTTGACGTCCTCGACCGAGAGCTGGGGCACCTTCGCCTTCTGCCCTGGCTGGAAGTCCAGCACCTCGCCCTCCTCGTCGTAGTCTAACTCAGCCCCGGGATTGCCCTGCGAAGCCATTTCCCGGAGAGATGCTGCAAGACTGAAAAAAAAACACTGGTGCCTGCTGTACTGGTCTGCTACTGCTCTATAGGTTCAGAGATCAGCTGACGGGGAAGCTTGTTTAACTTTTGTTTATCTTCAGTCGGGTCAAAATTACACACAGCTGATAAGAAATATACACAAGGTATAATTTAAATAAATGCTCATAATCAACAATATTATGTGTATTATTCAGAAAATTCTTGAAAAATATTCTTTAATAAAATAAATAGTAATAAAAAGTTCTTCAAATTCAAATTTTCTGTATTGACTAGGCCAAAAAAATAACTTTTAAAGGCAAAGAGTCCCAAATAAAACAATTATACAATTTTCAAGTCAATTATTGTCGCTTTGTCTAATGTATTGAAAATAATTAATTGCTACTAATTAATTATGACAATATAAAGATTGTGATTGTTTTCCCCCTTAATAAAATTATTTATTCCACAACTACTATATTAAGATTTATAAATAAATTATATCCATAATAATTTAAATTAGATAAATTGTGGTTGCAACCGACTGATCCTATGAGCAAATTTTAATGTCTTCTTGGGACAAACTCTGCATGTTGTCTACTAAAAAGATTGGTCGAACAATTTCACTTCTGAATTATGACAAGGTACAAATTTTCTTTTGTCAAAAAGAAATTTCGTTGTTTCAAACAGATTATTCTACCATTAACATATTTTTCCCAGAGAGATATTACAGCTGCGCAGGGTAGCTTTTCAGCAAATAAACGTAGCAATTAAAGCTTCGATAGGCTATAGGCTGACCTGCCGACTCCATGATCGCTAAATTCCAATTTGATGACAAATTTCCAATAAGACTATCCGAAGCAGCCTATGGAAGAATTGGATCCCAGTTTATGTCCGTTACACCATGGTTCAAAGACCGAATTACGTGTCAGGAGCTGGTATCTTTGAAAATAAACTATTAACTACTAATTACATTAATAAACTGTATTATACGCAGCTTACAAGAATCTGTAGCAATGGAACATTTTTTATTGACATGCCATGTTTATATCCCGTCGAGAACCCACTATCTATCTAAATATATTATCAACCCGGAGAAAAGATTACGCTATCTACTAACAATTTTCTTGAATGTTAAAGATCAAGAACAGTAAGATAAGCTTTTTTTACTAATTTCAAAATATATCATTTATTATCAATAAATAAACAAAGACATTAATATCTATCCTATTTTTATATACATTAAATATTCTATTTTTCACATAAAGAATTAATTCTGTAATGTAAACTTTGCTATTATTGTTTCGTTTTGTCTTTTATATAGCTTATTATTATTATTTTTTTTAAGTTTTAGGATCGGCGAACTACTTGGGTCATGGCTAGCCCTTTCTTACTTAGCCTTACATTCATTTTCTTATCTTTCTCGCTATTAATACTACTAATTTCTTTTTCTGTTTCTCCAGTTGAGTTTCGATATTTCATGGTACAATGGTAACCAACTCTCCCTTTTCTTTGTCCTATTGCTAGCCTCTCTGTACTTAAGGGCCTTGTGAATTTTAGATAAAATAAGACAAATCACAAACACAAATACAGAAACACGATAAAGACAAGATATTTTGGTTAGCATTCACACTACCCGACACTACTCGATATTGTTCTAGATGATTGGGACAAACCCTACCATTTACGCTAATAAATTACATTCACTCACTCTACCCCAGAGTATTCGATATTCCTCGAGGTAATTCTGGTTAAGCTACCTTTCACGCTAATAAATTCCACTCACACTTTCATTCAAGCAATCCCAGAGTACTAGATATTTCTCGGGGTAATTGAAAATAAACTCTTCCATTCACGCTAATAAATTACATTCACACACCTGGCTACATTCACACTACCTCAGAATAATCGATATCCCCCGGAGTAATTGGGGATCGCAGTAGTTTGAATAGTAGTTTCGAGTTTATTTATTAGATACTTTTACATACATTTTGTACAAAGTGACTACAAGGGGAAATGTCTAGGACATTATACATCCTTGTGGCAGAGGGCTTACGTATATTTACAATATTTGTTGATTTGGCCTAGAGAAATAAGAACAGTGGTGAAAATTATAATAAAAACCACTTGCAGAAAGAATACATTAATAAATAGGGAAGTTACAAATAATTACATATATTATAAATTATAAATCATAAGTCATTGACTACAAATGTACAATAGATAAGTTTGATAAACAACACATTTACTTCAGTATTAGCTAATTTCATAAATAAGTTAATACATAAACAAGTTAATAAATAATTACTAATTATAATAAGTTAAAATCATTGAATAGACTTGTACCATACATAATCAGTCATTTACTAATTTGGTAAATAAATAAATACATATATAAACAGTAAAATTAACAATTTAATAAATAATATCACAGTGAATAAATATACAAAGCAGTCATAGGGGATCGCAGAGTACTCGATATTCCTCAGGGAAATTGAGTATAAATTTCTTTATTCACTCTAATAAATTACATTCACACAACTGGCTACTTTCACACTACGTCAGAATAATCGATATCCCCGGAGAAATTTGGGATCGCAGAGTACTCGATATTCCTCAGAGAAATTGAGGATAAATTTTTTCATTCACGTTAATAAATTACATCGTATAAACTCTACCCCAGGGTATTCGATATTCCTCGAGGTAATTGTCCATCAGCTATCTTTCACGCTAATATATCACACTCACACATCCATTCAAACAGCCCCAGAATACTAGATATTCCTCGGTGTAATTGGGAATAAACCCTGCCATTCACGCTAATACATTACATTCGTACCACCTCAGAATACTCGATATCCCCCGGAGGAATTGGGGATCCCAGAGTACTCGATATTCCTCAGGGAAATTGAGGATAAATTTCTTCATTCACGCTAATAAATTACATTCGTATAAACTCTACCCCAGGGTATTCGATATTCCTCGAGGTAATTGTCCATCAGCTATCTTTCACGCTAATATATCACACTCACACATCCATTCAAACAGCCACAGAATACTAGATATTCCTCGGTGTAATTGGGAATAAACCCTGCCATTCACGCTAATACATTACATTCGTACCACCTCAGAATACTCGATATCCCCCGGAGGAATTGGGGATCCCAGAGTACTCGATATTCCTCAGGGAAATTGAGGATAAATTTCTTCATTCACGCTAATAAATTACATTCGTATAAACTCTACCCCAGGGTATTCATATTCTTCGAGGTAATTGTGGTTAAACTACCTTTCACGCTAATAAATTAACTCACGCATTCATTCAAACAGCCCCAGAATACTAGATACTACTCGAGGTAATTGTGATTAAGCTACCTTTCACGCTAATAAATTAACTCACACAATCATCCAAACAACCCCAGAATACTTAATATTCCTCGAGGTAATTGTGGTTAAGCAATCTTTCACGCTAATAAATTAACTCATACAATCATTAAAACAACCCCAGAATATTTAATATCCCTCAGGGAAATTGAGGATAAATTTCTTCATTCACGCTAATAAATTTCATTTACACAAGCGGCTACATTCACAATACCTGAGAATACTCCATATACTCCGGAGTAATTGAGGATCCCAGAGCACTCGTTAATCCTCGGCGTAATCGAGGATAAACCTCTCCATTCACGCAAATAAATTACATTCGTGCATTGATAAACTCTACCTCAGAATACTAGATATTCCTCGGGGTAATTGGGAATAAACCCTGCCATTCACGCTAATACATTACATTCGCACTACCTCAGAATACTAGATATCCCCCGGAGTAATTGGGGATCCCAGAGTACTCGATATTCCTCGGGGTAATTGGGAATAAACCCTTCTATTCACGCTAATAAATTACATATACACAGCACAAATCCTTCGCACTCTACGCCTAAATTGTTGCAAAGTGAGACAGTCAGCCAAAATATGTTTCACAGTCAAAATGATAAATTCTCCACTTCGCATACATCGAGGACACCTATAGTTTATCATAGTGATTTTTGAGTATGTTAAATTTGGTGCTATTTAGAGCAGTAAGTTAATTTCAGTTACTAACAATAAGTTTTGAAAAATTGTAACATTACAATATAGTATAATTAATTAAAGTTTTTAGTTGAGATAAAAAAGTTAATGGCACGAGCGGGATTCGAACCCACGATCTTCGGCTTGATACGCCGCTGCTCTACCACTTGAGCTATCGTGACCTCGATCGATGGGATGTTCAGATGGGAAGTTGGTGTCCGAGTGGATCGAGGTCACGATAGCTCAAGTGGTAGAGCAGCGGCGTGTCAAGCCGAAGACCGTGGTTTTGAATCCCGCTCGTGCCATTGACTTTTTTATCTCAACTAAAAACCTTAATTAATTGTAATATATTAATTGGTCAAGAGGACCACGAAATTAGTGATTTACAATATAGTTTGCAGTAAAAGTTTAGATTGTACAATCTAAGCAATCGTAATCCAACAAGTTCATCTATTTTAAATTGCAAAAGCTACTATGCAATAAATTATTTCTTCTTCCTCTTTTAAAAACTATTAAGTGAAATAAGTCTTGGGAAATATGGCTCCGTCTTTCAGGTGGAGACTGGCTATTGAACGCTGGGCAAGGGAGGATCAGGAGGATGGTTATTACCATCAAAAGAATACCCTTGGTCACCCAGACGGCACTAAAGACTCGCAGAGTAAGTATAGCATCAAGGCCCTGTCAGATATTGAACTTGAAATATATCCACAAATAAGGCAGAAAACTACATTTTAAAAAATTTAGTTAAGTTACCAAAAATATTGATTTTTCTCGGCTCTTAGGCTCTCAAAACCCAAGTTTCATTAAAATCAGTGATCCTTCTATCGTTGTAAATTAATATTAAGTCAAGAACACTTTAGATTCAAGATCAAGATATGGTTTCGAAGTCAAAAGCAAATTCAGTTGTTACTGCTAAGTTTTCGACCTATTTTAATGTCATCTTCAGACCCTATATTAATTTAACATTATGAAAATCATATTTGTACAATTGATTTAGCAATCGATTAATAAAAGAAAAAACTTTTGTTGGTCGATATTTTACACCAAAATGTATAATGACATAGGAATGAAGGAAATTTCAAAAATCTACGTAGAAGCTTAAATTTTAAATATGTATTTATTTTTACAAATATGTACATAAACATATAAAACTAAGTGTGATAAAAATCAGTAATAAACTCGGTTAATACAAAGGAATTTCGTCTAAAATTTACCTAAATCAAATACCACTTTCTAGGAAATTAAAAATAAAGATAGACTACGATTGTAGTCTTTTTACAAAAATTTACTTTAAGAAAACAATTTAGATTGCAATAAAATTTACTTAATTCAAAATATACTCTTTTTTACAATAAATAAATTAATATATTACGTCCATGTACAATATAATATACAATATTATCATATTTTACCCTAATCTTTGGCAAGTCTTGTTTTCTTTCTTTTTTTATTACAATAGTGACTCGGTATTTTCTTTAAAAGAAGATTCAGTTGTGGGTGAATGGCGCCGGATTGTGGTAAAAGGGCGCAATGGACGGGAATACAAATGGATAAGTCGGCGGAAAGTGAATGGGGTACGGCCAAAGCGAATGGGGGTAGAAAGGCGGGGGTGGAATATCGGAGATGAGCGGCACCGGTGGTGAAGGAGAATGGACGCTGGGGCCCGGTGAATCCGACGTGACCGAGACCCCGCTGTCGTCGCCGGTCTGTTTCAAATCCTCCACTTCTTGGACTTCGTTGCAGTCCCTTTTCGACTGTAAGGATAAGTTTTCGGCTTTCCTCTTCGTCCTGGCTTGGCCGTTTTCGCGGAACCCTTTGGCGAAGGGGTTGTAATCGATTTTCAACTTGGTAATCTTCTGGTTCTGTCAGAAAAAAAAATGTTAGAACTTGTTGTTAAAACGATTGCTTTTTTTGCAAACTTGATTGACTTACTTGATAAGCAGTGACGGCGATAAATTCGGTTTCGGGGAATGTCACTGTGAGAGTCGGACTCCAAGTAAGAGCTAAGATATCCGAAGCTTTTACTATATGTATCCTTGGCTGGTACTTATGCATCGAAGTAAGCACAAGCTGTAAAAAAACATAACCTTTATAATCCAATCACTCTAAAAAATTTTCAAGTGAAGGTTTATAACTTACGTTTCCGGAACGGTCCAGAGTGTTGTTCGTGAGTTTCACGCGGTGAAAGCTCACGTCCTGGGCCATCCAGGAAGCACCGGTAGCGGGAGAGTCCGGGTGGATGTGCATCCTCGTCGATGCGTGGGTCTGCGGCTCTGCGCCGCCCCCGGTGACCCATTCGGACGATATGAACTTGAACCGGTGGTTCGAAGACAAAGTCAGCTCGAACAGAACGAAGTAACGCACGTCGGGGTGCAAACCCTTCAGGCTCAGCCTTAATGAAGGAAACATCCTCCTAAAATCACAAAAAAAACATTAAATTTAAACTATATCCTATTAATCGATAAGATAAAATGAAATAGTCATAAATAAAGAACAAAAAATACTAATAGAAATATTCAATGAATTATTCATTATTGCAATAAAATTAGGTTAAGCGTATGTAAAGCTTTCTTTCATTCCTGCTGTGCTCTTTTACGATCCGATGACAGACATCCTTCAACCTGTTGGGCCTTTTTTTCCACCTGACAAGATACGATCAAGTAATTTCATAGATCAGGAGGAAATTACTTGTCGTTTTTACCAAGCTGGTGGCCATCAGCCCTAATCTCTTTGTTAGGCCAAACAAGGCGAGGACGCACGCAGGCAATAATTCTTTTATAACTATCATAGGTGGCCAGGGGCAGCGGAAAGGGGGCGACCTACCGCACTGGTGTTATCAAGGCTTGTTAACACGAACCAGGTGGCGCCTATCCTCCGAAACAGGTCATTAACAGCCGAGATGGAATATTGCCTCCAGACGAGAAAAACGGCTCGGAAAAAATCTGGTATGCGGCAGCGAGGTTAATAAATTCAATGTGCCGGCCCTTTCCTGTTGGCACCCCATGGTCGTAATTAATTCCTCTGGCCAGAAGCGTTTATCCGAATATATCATGATAAAAGTTTCATACCTAATCATTTAGAAAAATCTGCCGGCGGATAGGTATTGTGTTAAATTAGCGAGGATGGATGATCCAGGAACATTCCAGATTATCTTTATATAAAAACGACGAAGACAAACGGACCACGATTTTATATGCCAAACATTCGGTGTGAAAATTCTATATAAAAAATTAAGCAGGGAAGGTAGACCGCGATCATTATAGTCGAACCACTAGGTAAATAATTCCTAATTAAGAAGACAAACGAACGAATCATGATTTTCAATGTCAACTATCTCGAGGGCAAGTCCTACATGGAGATAATTGATAAGGATGGCCTTCACGATCATCATTGTCAAAGCTTTTGGTGTACCTGAATAAAACCAGTTTGCACAAATGGACCAAGATTTTTCATGTCAAATATGACGTTGGGTAAGTCCTATTTAAATACAATTGAGCAGAGAGGGCGGACGTCTACGATAATTTTCAAATCTCTCGGTGGACAATTCCTAGATAAAAAACAGCGAGGACAAACGGACTACGATTTTCATTGTCAAACAACTCGACTAGCATGTCTTGGAGGACCTAAATAGAATCAACAAATACGAACATCTCGAATGGCAATTAGTCAAATAAGGCGAACTTAGAAGATCATCATTGTCAAACCTCTCGGTGAACCTAAAAAAAAAAAATAGCGAGCACAAACGGACCACGATTTTCGTTGTCAAACATCGCGGATGCTGTCCTCCATAAAGACAAAAAGATACGGTTGACTTGCACGATCATATTCGTCGAACCTCTCTGCGAACAATTCCTACACAAAAACCGCGAGGACAAACGGACCACGATTTTTATTGCCAAACATCCCGGTGGTATGTCGTATTAAAAGATAATTAAGCAGATACGGCAGAATTCTACGGTAACCATTGTCCAACCACTCGGTGGACCTAAATAAAAACAGCGAGGACAAACGGACCATGATTTTCATTGTCAAATACATCGCGGATGCTAAGTCCTATACAAAGACAATTAAGCAGATAAGGTTGACTTACACGATCATCTTCGTCAAATCTCTCTGCGAACAATTCCTCTATAAAAACAGCGAGGACAAAGGGACCACGATTTTTATTGCCAAACTTCTCGTCTGGTATGTCCTATTAAAATATAATTAAGCAGATACGGCGGAATTGAACGGTCATCATTGTCAAACCTCTCGGTGGACCTAAATAAAAACAGCGAGTACAAACGGACCACGACTTTCATCGTCAACCCATTCTCGATGGGCAAATTGTACAGGAATAAAAATAAGTAGAGAGGGCGGATGCCGACGATCATGATTTTTAAATCTCTCAGTGCACAATCTCTTAATAAATCAGAGATTACAAATGGACAACGAATTTTATTGTCAGACTGTTGTTAAGTTCTAAATATACAAAATAATTAGAGAGAGCTGACGTCTGCAATCACTGTTGTCACTCCTATCGGTGTACAATCTCTAAATAAAAACAGCGAGGGCAGACGATCCATTTTCATCATCACGCACTTAATCTAAATGCAAGTGTCATACCGAAATATTGACGACGGACGGACATTATAGCTTTACATCTTGGTGGAAAGTACTTGTAAATAAAAAAGCGAGAACAAGTCATTAGTCATTCTTATATATTTTATATTACTCTTATAAAAAAAAGGACATGGGACTCCATAAACGGTTTCAAATACATAAGGACACCAGGCAAAGTGTATTATGAAGGACATCGCCAACTGTGAAAAGAAATTTGCATCGATTATCAATCAGAACTTTTTTGTTGAAATACAGACAACACAAAGTCCTGAAGATGATCTCGATAAAGATCGAAACGTTGGCACGATAAAGAAAACTGACGTCACACCAGACCGCATCTCACGATCTCTAAATAATAAATAATAAAAAAAGAGTTGAGCAGCGAGGAAGTACGTCCCCGATCATCATTGTCTATGGGTGGAAAATTTTCATACATAAACAATTTAGGAGGAAGAACTAATATGGTCTTACATAAAAATAAAGGAGCAAGAGAACAGACAAACCACCATTGTCCTCTTCGGTGGAGAAATCTTATAAATAAACGACCAGGACGGGCACCACAATCATCATTGTCCACCCCCTGGTTGGACAAGATTTTACCTTACAAAAGGAAAAATGAACACGTTAGACAATCTCGACCGTGAGATCCGTCGGGTTGGCGTGTTAAGTGGATGACAAGGGTTGTGAATTGGTCTTGTTTGGAAAGGCTGCCCCTCTTCATCAATTATTTATAAGAAGTGTCGGGGTTACCTGGGGGTAATCTATCAACGATGTTTGTTCAACACTTGATTATAGGAATTACTCTGTTTGGAAAGGGGATGGAGTGATGCAAGCCGGCCAATTACCAGGCAGGTGGTCCCTGGGATTCAGCCCCGTCCTCTGCATGGCTCTATTAGCTCCCGACCACCTCATCGCCAGAGGTGATTATCTCCTTCTCACTCACATCGAATTTAAACAACACGTTGACCACAAATCATTAAAAAAAAGAAACTAGGAATACTACTTTTTTCAGAAATCACACTTACTTATTAACATTGTTCTTCTTTAAACCCATTTTATATCTGATGCTAATGGACTTCAAATAAACGTTAATGATTTTACATGGGATTAAAAGAGAAATGAAAGAGTCTCGATGTTTAATTGTCCGGAGGCTGTGTCCGGAGGGACTTGGGCTAAGCTCGCCTGCGCTAGACCTGAGTTAAAAGCTTTGGAGACAAGAGAGAGTGGGTCCGCCGGGGCTGAAAACATACAAAATCATCCCCGTCTCGGGCAAATCGTGGCCGACCACTCCCACCCACCCCCTGTCTTATTTATTGCACCCTTTTACCGGGGGGACTGTGTGGCATCGGACACGCCAGATTTTCGCGATCGGGTGTAAAAAGTGTGACGCCGGCGACAAATACCGATTTCGTTCTGATCCAACGGAGCTACAAAACTTGTGAACTACGGAGAACTCGACTAGAGATAGCGAGAAAAAGCGGACCATCTCGAACGAGAAAAATATAAAGAAAAAGAGAGAGAGAATGAGAGAGAGAGAGAGAGAGAGAGAGAGAGAGAGAGAGAGAGAGAGAGAGAGAGAGAGACAGGCAAAAAGAGACAGACAGACAGAAACAGAGGTTGGAGGTGGGTAAAAAAAGAAAATGAGCGGATGAGCGAAGGAAGGAGTGAGAAGAGGGATAAAATTATACAGGAATAGATTGAGAGAGGGTCGTATAAAGGGTAGCAATATATATAATTTTGTTTTCCCTCAAATTAATTATGAATAACTGTTATAACGGTTCTGAAATATAAGTAAATTGGTTACTTTCAACCTTTTAAATGCCTACGCTTTCTAAGTCGGCTTTTAAGTCGGACTTGAAGATGTTTTTCGCGTGAATCGTTTAATTTTAATTGTAGAAAGGGTGTTACTAAGTCATAATTGGTATCGATTATAAAATTTATCAATTTTGAACAAATATTGTATCTAAACTGTCTAGATTAACTTAAGGACATTTAACAGCCAAAAATTGTGCAAAAATATTTCGTTTTATTCGAGTTAAAGTTACTTTAATGTACTAATTATAGAAACTATAGCAATGCATGTAAGGAAAAATCATTATTATTCATAATAAGTGGCAGACTAGATTTAAAAGGTTGTTCCTAGCCACTAGGATCGTCATTGTTAAGAGTAAAAATTTTGAAAAAAATTATCCATTTTCACAATAAATTATGTTATGTCGTAAGATAGAACTGACAATTATTAAAAATTTTATTTGCATACAAGAGTGACTTTTGAATTGAGACCCTTTTTGGCATAATAGCGAGATCAGACGGACCAGAAATGAATCAAGCCGAGCTGTTTCCCTGCGGATTTTTATTTATATAAATTATATTATGCACTATGATCATCATGCGTTTGTGTTCTTATTACTATTGTTTTGAGTAAAATTCCATCACTGAAGATTGCGAGTAGGTAAAGCACCAAGTTCAAAAAGAACGGAAACGACCAAATTACATATACCTGAACTTTATATTTACAAGCATTTATATTATGCGCTCGGTGTATTTATTTTATTAATTTTTTTTTACGAAATTATATCACTGAAGAATGCGAGGAGACAAAGCGGCAAGATAGACAGATCGAAATGATCGGAATCAATCTGGAAATTTCTATTTGTACTCATTTATATTGCGCGCCCGGAGTTTGTTTGTTATTGTTATATTTTTTATATTATTTATATTGTTCTGTGTAAAAGTTCATCACTGAAGATTGCGAGAAACCAAACCAGCAAGGATATGGAGATCAAAATGATCAAAAAATACCGAACTACA